GAATGTACACATACCGTTGCCCTTCCACATGCACAGATGTGTTTCCTTGGTATTCGTGACAGTTGTACCTTATATTTACTAGCAAATGAATAAAATGTGTTCACTTTTCCTTTTGCAAAGAAGAGAAATGTCTGTGTTTGTTCATGTGATGAACTTGAATGCACCAATATACCAGGTTATACGTACCTGGAACGTTTCCAAAATATGTGGCCATTTTCTCGGTCGTTTCTTACGGAGGGTGATGCTTTATTCTACAGAATATAAAGAATGTGATGCTCGTTAATACGGCTGGAATCGCAACACCTGGATTGGTTGGTTTAATGTTGGCTTTTGTCTCATCCACATTAGCCATTCAAATGTCACTGAGCATTCAGAGTATGCACATGTGCACATACCATGATCCTAAACGATACTGAATATTCATACGAATGGTCATCAAGAAAAGAAAAGAAAATTGTCCTTGTTTAAACCTAAATTTCAAATGTGAACCAATGCATACATACATACGTAAATACGTACGTATATTATGTTTGTAGAGAGAAACATTTTTCACATCATTATGAGACAAATTGTCATTCACAAGCTTTTCGAGATTAGTGGACATTTGCGATAGGTTCCATGTGTTCATACATATATTACGTCAACTGGAGAAAATATTCATGGATAAAATTGAAAGTTGTCGTATTTTCCTCCTCTGGCTCCATTTCGTCATGCAAATCATCCTAGATTGAAAAGTAAGAATAAGACAGCGCTTTTTCATGCAGAACATGACTTCTGTACTTTGGAAACTAAAGGTTTTGTTGCCAGTAATTAGTTTTATGACAAGATGACACTGCTGTCTACTGAGTAGTTTTGTTTTTATTGTCTTTTTCGTGGGCGTTATTGTTGGAACTTATCAGTGTTAGTTAGAAACTTCATTGCAAGCTGATCAGCGACTCCGTCAAGTCTGTGACGTCTCTTGTGCTGACATTTGTTGTTGAAATGAAAATCGCAGTTGTGAATTATGTTTTATATTTTTACATGTAAAAGTAATCTGAATTCGACATAAACATCATTTACATATGCGGAAAAAAGGTAATAAAATATTGTTCAACATTCTGCGCAGAGCTCGTCAATATCGATGTTTGAATTGTTTTGCCTCAATGCTGGCTCATGACTCACCTTCGAGTATGTCAAGGACCTTATCAATTATGTTTTTCGTTGAACTTATTTCAACTTTGAAATAATGATCACCAGACATTAGCACGTTTCATCACCTCTAAAATAGTTTAAATCAACTGTAAACGATTGAAAATGAGCAATTTTAAGATTAACGGTACATAGTTGATTTGCACATGTAAATATATTTCATTGTGGAGAAATATCAAAGTTGACTTGCCAAGTGTGACAACGACAGAGTCACATTACGCAACACTGACGTGGCCACACACATTGGTAGTGTTAAATATACTCTCAAACAATAATTTAGACTCACTAGTGTAAATGTAGCCACTTACTTCAGTCAACTGTTCTGAACTAGATTTTGTAAAATAATCCATACAGTTTAAAGGTACTGTTTATACATGAACTGGTGTATTGTAAAACGAAACGAAAGTTTATTGTCATGTGTTCAGTAAATGATGAAACTCGGTGTGAAAAATGGCGATTTTTTTTATCAAAACTTTTCACCAAAACGCAGCTGTTCACATGCACGATATTTGCACATGCTTTTCAGCAATTTGATGCATGGTACTCGTGCAATTAATCTGCATAGGTTTTGCAGATGTTTTCCCCTAAGTTAGTGGAGAAATTCATCTTCGTTGTAACCATATGTACATACATAACATATAGTGATTGAATTAAGTCTAAACTTTTGATGGGTAGTATATGTTCATATGCACTCCCTACAAGTCATGGCAACGTGTTAATCTGTCGAAGGGTACTGGCAGTACCCGAATCTACCTGGCGCCATATTGAAACAGTAGCGATGAACAATCTTATGTTATATACATCATATAGTTTTCGTTAATCACCTGTCCGCTTGAACGATTACGGGTATAGTACGTACCCTGCTTATGACATACCTTTTAATACAAATTAGTGTTCGAAAATTAAATATAAATTAAAACTTTTAATGTCCCTATTAATGTTGATAACTATGATCGAGAACGATCGTCGTAAAGTTGATTATATATTTTTTTCTTTTGATGAATAAATTAATCATTTTAATCACAATCTACGTTTTCAATGTCCAAGGTGTTTCAGGACGCAAATCATGAATGTTTTCCTTCAACTAAGGTGAACTCGAGCATGAATGTGATGCAGCTAAACAGTATATGTTCTGGGGTTCGAATCCGGTAACCCCTCTACCGTAATGCAATGCGACTGGCTCATTCTATAATACATTCTGCTTTTGGAGATAATCTTTCACACCTTAGAATATTCTCTTGAAACCGGCTGCAAATGTTAAAGGAAATTCAACAGAAAAACTTCTGTTCTATTATTCAAATAGTTGTCAGTGTAAGAACACCCACCTCCCTACATCGGAAACTAAAAGCATAAAACAGTTATATGGTGACACGCAAGACAGTATACAAAGCAAGCTCTACATGTCGGAAAAAAGCACACAACCGTGTTTGACTGACTGACTGACTGAGTTTGGTTTTACGCCGCTTTTAGCAACATTCCAGCAACATCACGGCGGGGGACACCAGAAATGGGCTTCACACATTGTACCCATGTGGGGATTCGAACCCGGGTTTTCGGCGTGACGAGCCAACGCTTTAACCACTAGGCTACCCCACCGCCCCAACTTCCGTGTTTGAGGATGGCTAAAGAAATGGTTGTTCGATGGTCTCTTGTTTTACATGGGTAACATAGTTGTGTTTTTGGATCTTGTGTTTGCAGTGTAACGTGTTCATAAATTGTTGGTCAAATCCCAATTTCACGTGAATATTTTCTGTGAAAATGTGTGGGTTGACGTTCTAGTTTTGATCACGCGATTGAACAATTATCATGTGTCGAAAGGATATATGTCAAAAGTAAAATATTCAAACAGCTCCTCTCACTCAAAAGCAAGGTATTCCGAAAGTTAAAATATCATCGATCTTGTTAGCGCTGTATTTCTTCAAAGATTCGTCATGTTGTTCACCTGTTGCACGCTAGATCAAGAGTGTCAAGGAAACACATTGTATTATCTGACTCATGTCTACTCACAATGTTGAGTCATAACATTTGTTGGCAAATACTTTCTCAGTTTTGTGCTGTTAAACAATTGTCAACTGATAAAGATGAGCTAGTATGTAAATGTTTGGTTGTAATATTCTCCATTTGGAGATAGCATAACTTTGAATTATGAATTACGAGATTCAATTGTGCTAGCCACACGTTGAGTCCCAACATTTCTGGGCAAACGCGTTGTCAGTTTTGTCTTGTTGAACAATCGCCAATCAGAATCGAATGCATATTTGCCGATTAACCGTTGGTCTTGTGTATTGGAGTTAAACAGCCGCGACTTACAAGTGTATTTTGCTTTCCATATATACAATCCATTGATCATACTGGGCTAGGTGTGAGATGTACAGGTGCTCGTGAGGGTGTTTTGTTGAAAAAGACTGAGAGAAAAATCTACCGAGTTCGAAAATGTTTGGCTATAATATTCGCCATTTAGAGATAGCATAACTATGAATTATGAATTACGAGATTCAACTGTGCTACATGTCGAGTCCCAAAATTTCTAAGCAAATACGATTTCAGTTTTGTGATGTTGCCAATTGTAAACCAAAAGTCACTGTGTTCTTTAATCTGATTGGCTGAAAAACATGATCAAATGGTATTCGATTCCCGGAAATTCGCTGCGTATTAATACATACAAACATCGCTCACACCATTGTATTGTTACGTCATCAGCTGTGATGACGTCATTCAAATCATATTGTGACGTAAAGTCCGAATGACGTCACAAGTGAGCAGTTCCAGATGCTATATAGGGAGACAGCCGAAAGAGACGGCTGATGATACTTCACTGCTGTACCCGTACTCGATGTCAATGAGTGCAGACACAAAAACGTGTGTGGACCTTTTGGTTTACTTTGATGTTTACAATGTCGATAAACATCATGTGTTGGCCAATTTCCGGGTGTTATTGAGTATTTGAAGCAGGGAAATTCATTAGAATCGAATTTGCCTAATAATAGTTATTAATGAAGATAAGAGGAAAATCTACCTAGTGAGAAAATGTTTGGTTATAATATTCGCCATTTAGAGATAGCATAACTATGAATTATGAATTACGAGATTCAACTGTGCTACATGTCGATGTCGAGTCACAAAATTTCTAAGCAAATACGTTTTCAGTTTTGGGATGTTGCCAATTAGAATCGAATTTGCCTAATAATAATTATTAATGAAGATAAGAGGAAAATCTACCTAGTGAGAAAATGTTTGGCTGTAATATTCGCCATTAGAGATAGCATAACTATGAATTATGAATAACAAGATTCAACTGTGTTACATGTCGAGTCACAAAATTTCTAAGCAAATACGTTTTAAGTTTTATGATGTTGCCAATTAGAATCGAATTTGCCTAATAATTGTTATTAATCAAGATAAGAGGAAAATCTACCTAGTGAGAAAATGTTTGGCTGTAATATTCGCCATTTAGAGATAGCATAATTATGATTACGGAATTCGACTGTGCTAGCCATACCAATGTTACAGATGAGCTTCCAGAGACTTGTGCGTGTATTCATATTATGATATGTCCACCCCAAGGGGGGTCATGTGTCCGTTACGGAGAAGCTCCCTGTGGTAAAGTTATGTAATATATTTCTTCCCACTGACATCTGAAGTGTAAGGTACATGATTTACAATGTTCATTGACATTCAGACTGGTCCAACCGGAGCCGTAAAACTATAGGAATAACGACGAAGAATAAAATTTATGATTTAGAATTGGATTCTAAATGTTGCATTAGGGATTTTATGTACGCTTTACAACTGTCACAATTTGTTTCTTTCAGACAATGCAAGAAGACCGAACTTTACAAATTGCACCTACCATCCAACATCAAACTGAAGCAATGCTCAAGCTTCTAATACGTTACAACTGGACAGACTTCGCTATCGTGACGACTGAAGTGGCGGGATATCAAGATTTCATCGCATCGATCAGATCTGCTGTTAAACAAACTCACAACTCGCCTGAATTTACAGCAGATGGCAAAAGGCCTTTTAGGCAAGTTGATTCTTAAGCATCTAGAGCTGCTATAGCCACGAGCACAACCGTTGTGCGCAGCCAATATGTGTACTCCCTGTAGTGTAGTCTTGCGAACGTTCTCTTTTATGTCCGTTGTGTTACGCCGGCTTCCCGTGCCCGTGCATTTAAAGGGTGGATACGTATGTATGTTGAGAAATGAACTGTTTGTATAGAGCCATGCACTGGCAAGAATTCAACAGTGCTAAAAGTTATTGCCAAACATTACGAAATCGGGTGCGTTGGGAAGGATGGCGCTACTGTTAATATAATTAGGGAAAACAATTACATAGATTGTTGGAAATCGTTTCGTAGCCAAACTAGCAACTAATACACTCTTTAGTCACATGAAATATTTGATTAGCATTAGGGAATTACGGTTAAGAGATATGATACACGTTATAGAATAAGTTCGTTATTGCTTTTAACTACCTTTCTGGCTCCTTCTTGTCTCTGAAGCGAATGACTTGAATAATTTATACTACATCTAGATTTGTACACTTTCCATGCGTTAGGGAATTCATATCTTTAAGAAAATGTTTCAAAACATGAGGACATCTGAACCTCCAGCACTTGCCAGCCTCCCGGCAGTCACCCTTTCGTCAATGTAACATGAAAATAACTATTTCAAATCAGTTATGTCTTCACTTCTGTATGTTCAGTATTGCATTGTGATTCTCAAATGTACGTAGGCGTTGCTGTATCTGAATTCTGAAGTTCAACAAGTCTATTGCAAATTCTAGTATATGCATTGCCAACGTGAAAACCCAGTGGCAGTATTTCAACTTGTATGTCTGGTAAGGCAATATAGACTATCAAGAGGGCAGTGATCGTCAGTCTTGGTTCTTTCTTCTGATATTCTATACACACGACTGATCCAATTATATTTTCAAATTAACTGGCAATACTGTTCATTGACTTCGTAAAGTATAAACTATATTGTAAATACGTCAATGTAATATACGAAGCTTACATCAGCTTGGTTTATTTAATACCCACGTAAAATCCTTAAGCAGCAATAATTGAGTTCAAGGATGGTTTACATTGTTATAAGAATAATTTGTGTTCTTTCCGAGACAAATATTGCTAATCTTGTACATTTATTGCATCTTTGTCAGGGAATCAAATTAAGAACTGTTACTACAGAATCAAAAGACATTTCAAGAAGATATGAGTGTGCCTGTCTAAATATGATCGGCATACGGCGTCAGATGGTTACGTTAGGAGAGTGTGGTACTACAAGGCTTGGCTGAATAGCTTACAAGAAGCCCTCCGGAGACTCGCTAGCCCACTTTGTGAGCATCTGTTGTCGGCATTCTCTTCACGGTGCTCTCATTCTGGGCCGTGAACAGTCGGGGTTGATTGGGAATTGTCCCGACGGAGGGCCATCTATCCAAGTCTAGATAACGTCATTAGTACGGCAACATTATCCCACTCATCAAGAAGGGACACGCTGCTGTAATTACTCTTCACAATGTAGCCGTATCATTCCTTGCCGTATTGATACGGGGTTATAAGTATACTCGAGGAAATGTTTAAATTTAAATAAGCAACGACATGCATAAGAAACACCAACAGCAATTTGATTGATAGTATTTAACATCCACTAGACTTATGAAAAAGGTCCCATATTGACAAACTTTATGGATAACGACGTCGTTTATTTTGTGAGTGGGACGTTTCGATACAGATTCTTGTTCAAGAAGGAATTTAACATCATTTAAGTGATGTATATGTACTGAATGTAACAACGAAAACAACATGGCTGGGCAGTAAGCTGATAAAGCCAGTGAGTTAACAACAGGAAAGGAATGGACGCTAGAGATGTACAAAAGAAGTTGTTATCTATAACGTTTGTCAATATTGTACTTCCCAACTTCTAAAATGCCAGTCAAAGAAGCTGAGAAAAGAGTTGTGAACTTATAACTGCAACTCATCATAGCTTCGTGTATAACCGTTAATACCCATTCACCCAATTCAGCCCCTACCCCATATTTCAAACTCCTAGAAAATCTTTGAACCAAGATGTTGTACGAATATACACAATATACACCCTTATCAGAGTGAACTCTGCTTTTTAATATCAAGTGTACTTGGTTTGGTCACGAGGAGAATACTTATATTAACGGTAAATTTTGATGCACTTATATTTTTTGCCTAAAGATAAAACGTCAAATCTAGTTTAAAAATGCTGAAAGGCAAAATATTGGGGAAAATTGTATAAATAGATCCAGAAAATCAGTGTCGACACTGTCTGACAAAAGGGTAAAACATGCTCGCCTGTCCTCCTCTGCCAGTAGGACCAACACTCACGCCTACATAATTTGCTGTGATATAAGTGTTGGTTGTTGCCTAACATAAGGATCATTTTGATATGTAGTGTGTGTCATGATCAATCGTTCAGAACATGTTTTACATCATGTGCTTTTGCTTTCAGATTTAAAATCTTGAAGGAGATAACGTTAAGGAACAAACCTAACCAAACTCAGGCAGAAGCACAGCTCAGTCAACTTTTTGAATCAGATGCACGTGTTATTTTATTGCACTCAAACACGTGAGTATTTTTAATGTCTTTCTCTGACTGAATGTGTATGAAAAACAGTGTTAAACCATTATGGCTCTAATAGTGGATTTCCCTGTTTGTACGTGTGTAGTCTGCCAGGTGAGTGACTGAGGTTTTACGCCACTTTTAGTAACGTAATATACCAGCGTGTCCTGCCTTACCGGTAGCAACCGTTGTAAGTCACAAGAATGACAAGGTCAAGGTCAAGTCTTCTTCGTTGGCAACTACAGCCACTCTCCTACCCAGAGTTCCATGCGGCAAGCCAGCATAGTATCTCTGCCACAGGCCAGAAACATGTGACGATTCGTCACATCTTGCACCGTCCATTCAATATAATGTACAGATTTCTTTAACTCTTTTATTTTAACGAGTCTACACATCTAACTAAACATTTTTAATAGAATGGTTTAGTTTCACTGATAAAATATCCAAAAACATGTAACACTATTTCGATTTGCGTAGCGATCCTTTGTTTACATAGGTTGTACGGCTCCACGTGCTGTCATCGAAGCTGATGGAGAGCAAACGATGCAACAAGTTTGATATCGAAATATGTACTGCCATAGACCTTACTGTCGCAGTTGTGGAAGAATATATATGTAACAATGTAAAACATTATGAAGAGAGCGCCGAAAAGCTTTCGTGAGTCCAGTCTACTTCTTATTATGAATATGCGCGTTTGATTACAAACAAGAGAAAAGTCCGGTCACGTGATATGCAAATTAGCCTGTGGCAGTGATGTTATGTTAAGTCATCCCTGTGCCGGAGTGTGGACCGTTGTAAGTCACAAGAATGACAAGGTCAAGGTCAAGTCTTCTTCGTTGGCAACTACAGCTTGTTCAGCTTGACCTGAGCTACTCTACATATGCATGACACGGGAGGTCAAATGGCACAAACGGCTGGTCGAGTTAACTTCATTAAATAGGGGTGCAGAGAATGGTATTAATGTTGCGTTCACACATGCACACATGGATTTGTTACAGCCCCATTCGGAAACAATAAGCCATCTGTAGCTTCTTTCTTTAAGAAAGTTAGGACATTGCTGACGATTTTCGACACAGAGATGTCAAACGGCGACCTGTCTCGGCTCTTCGACCATGATGACAATCAACTGACAAAGATGCACCCCTTCACAATAATAGACCAAACCAGTTGTGACACGGCCACGCAATGCATTAGTATTCACTTGATCAGGTCAAGCTGAACAAGCTGTACTTCCCTATCATTAAACATTCAACAGCAGGTTCGGCATACAGTGCCTTTTGTGAGACATGCATTGTTTTCCATTCCCGATTATTTCTGAAACAGATTTAATCCAATCGTCACAATTTAAGGGAAAGATGCGCGACATTACAGGAAGCAGTCACCATGCATGAAAGCACGGTCGTTGTAGCGGTGCCCCCAGAGAAAGATCCGGAAGATGATTCCCATTCAAACGAAATGAATGATGCGATAATGCATAATCGGCCGTGTGGGACATTATTGTTCCCTTGTCTCGAATCCATCTATAACAGTCGTAGATATTCTTTCTTGCAAATGAGCCAAGATCCCGGCTCTGGGACAGGCATATACTAGTATGCGGATGGCTATGTGAACGATCGCCCATTTTGTTCCATCATATCTCGACGGGATGGTCGCTCACCAAGACTCAGACCAGTGTACTGGTTGTTTACAGGACACCCTGACTTGTTTAAATACTTCATAACTCTAATTATCTGTAACGAGCAGAAGCAAGCTCTAACGAGAACAATTATAGCCATAATTACGAGGCAGAAAGACCATTGTTCCTTTTCCCTCTTTCCTGCTGATTGTATAAGCATCGCGAAAACAATAAACACATATTGTTTACACATCTGAATACCATACCTGACATATTACCTCGCCATTTCGCTTGAAAAAGACAAATGTATTCCACATTGACAACACGTATAAACATAACGCGACAAAAAGATTTCCAAGGAAATGAGCCTCCCGAGACAAATACTGGGCGCTGTACCAATGCCTGGCGCGGAACCAAGTTAATCATCATAAATAAAGAACGAATTTGCTTTACATTTTATCGCAAAGCTGTTGTTAGCATATGCTGCAAGGATGTCCCGTTATCCAGAGTCCCGTTAATTAGGAACCTTCGTAGTGACGTCTTCATCACGAAAAAAGTCATCACTTCATGATACCGATTCACAATCGTTCCGATTATGTTTGAAACCTGGACGAATCTACTTGAAACATTACAGGAATCTATCAGACAGGAATGTAATCATTGAAATTGTTTCTTGTTTGTTGTTTAATGCCGCACTCAGCAATATTCCAGCTATATAGCGGCGGTCTGTAAATAATCGAGTCTGGACAAGACAATCCCATGATCAACAGCAGGAGCATCGATCTACGCAATTTGATACGATGACACGTGTCAACCAAGTCATCGAGCCTGACCACCTGATCCCGTTAGTCGCATCTTAGCATGTGTCGCTGAAGGACAATCCTAACCCGGATCTGTACGGGTTTCATTTAAAAATAGGTGGGATTTGAACCAGAAATGCAACAGCACATTCCAGCGCCTTAGACAACTGGACAATCCATACCAATGTACATGTTTTGTTTTTATATAGGATATTTATATAGGATATTTATATAGCGCACATATCCACGCACTAGTGCATGCTCAAGGCGCTGGTATTTTTTCCCTCGATCGGCATTGGATGTCAATCTCAACGGCACATCGCATTATCAATCTCAACTCCCTGGGGAGTATACAACTCTTGCAGCCACTAGGCGCACCGAGTTATTGTGGCTTTCTCATCCTAACGAGGTACCCATTCACAGCTGGGTGGACTTGGGGCACATAGTCACAGTACTTTGTCCATGTTCACTGCACGTTGCTGTACCCGCAACTAGGTGTTTGCACGTATTCATGTGGCCACCATCTGGTCAAATACCAACGGATTCGTGGGTTCTTTTAAGTGCACAGGGTTGTGTATAGTACACTATTTATTTAGGTTTATTCCCCACACATAGTACTTTTAAGTCATATTATAAGTATATTAAGTAAATTATGTGACGCATCAAACGCATTTGTTTTGTTATGTTTTCTGAATTTTATAACCAGGTGAACAAATGAATAGACTTTGCATATGATTATGACGGGTACCATCGATGGGGCAGGATACGCTCACCTTTTCGCAAACACCTGGTATCATCACTATGTCCTAGTGATTAATAAACACATGCTCTGTCATCTTATCGCATGGTGACAATTACTGTATTGTCTGGTCCAGATTCGATTTGTTTACAGATAACATCGTACAGCTGTAATACTGCTGAAACAACTATATACTCATGATATAGTCACAATTGTACAATCGACACGAGAGGGTTTTGTCGCTTCTATCAACTCAGAGATGGGTACAAGTTGTAAAAAAGCCATTTGTTCATGCTTTTGTAAAAATGTTCAGCCAGCTATAAATATTAATATTTTTTTTCAGGTTAGAAAGTAAAAACATTATGGATTACGCCCGTAACCTCGGCCTCACCACCGGGGATTACGTATGGATATTGACACAGACGGCTTTACAAACGTCAAGATACGCTTCTAGATCCTACCATCTTGGAATGCTTGGTGAGTAATGTATTGGGTGTAACAGCCGGTGTTCATTCTGTTCTCAGTGTTTACAAGGGCTCGTGTTGGTCAGTAAATTGGCTGTCCTTTGTTTTCAAACGAAATGATGGCATGAATGTCGTTTACGTCAAGTTACGTTTGACGTTACGTAGTGCTACATGACTTGCGGAAATTACTGACTGACTGACTGACTGATTGTCAGTCTGACTATGTGTCTGACTAATGGTCATATCGGGTCGATGCTCATGCTGTTGATCACTGGATTGTCTGGTTACAGACCGCCGCCATATAGCTGGAATATTGCTGAGTGCTGCGTAAAACTAAACTCACTCACTAACTCACTCATATCGGTATGTGTGGAACACAAATTGTGATAATTCATTTCGCAATTTAAGTTATAAAATTAGTTTCAACAAACTCATTTCTATGTAAAATAGGTATTAATCAAAATAATATCTGTAATTTATGTGGCAGAGAAATAGAAACTCTTGAGCATTTTTATGCGAGAAAACCAAACATCGAATCTGGCGCTTTCATATTACAAAGTTTCTACTGGGCGTTCCTGAAGCAAGTGTATTAGAACATCAAATTTTCATTATTACCAAGGAATACATGTATAAAGTAAGATGTACTTCTGCGGATTTAAATTTCGGCCAACTCTCCTACCTCACAAAAGACCATTATGATTTGTGAAAATACATTTTCGGGAAAAAAAAGTTATAAAATTAGTCAATCACATTTGTAGACATATATCATTCAATGACATAGTCTGTAACATTAAGCAATACGTACCTGTTGATGAAATAATTATAGAGCCCATTTCGATGTTCGTCTTTTCAAGCAAGATTGACAGTTCTGTATTCTTGTGTTTTGTTCCTATCCTTGTTTGTTGAACAAATGCCAAAGTTCCTCACATCAGAGTATGGTAAGAACACATTTCCATCTGTCAGACAGTGTATTGTGCATTAGTATTCCCAAGGGAGGCAGAATGTCAAGCTCCTTTTAATTAAGTTTTCAGCTCTATAATCTGACAATGTCTCGCCTTCACAGCGTTATAACGTGGAGTGACACGGAAAGAACATTTATTTGGTTAGTTCTTTGTAATCGCCTTGACATTTGGGAAATCAGATATTGGCAAATGTAACTGTTTTTAATCTTTCCGATACGTAATACATTATCGTGGTGAATCTGATAGAACAATTTATTGATAATCATGATTGTATCAGTGCTCGCTATGATGTACAAGGGATATCAACCGTATATGCCTGTAGACCATAACGGAAAAACAAGGATACAAGTAAACAGGAGGCGTTATGGATTTAAGAAATGGAAATAATTTAAGAAGTCTATATTTATAAGAATTTATATTATCAATATAGTAGTGTTACAGTTGAGTCGAAGTCTTATGTGTCGAAATTAATGTTGTAAAAGCCTGCACATTCCGTCTTTAGTCATCATTTAACGGTTGTGTCGAACCATGGATAACTCGAAGTATTTATGAAGGCTATTTCAACTTCGCCACAACGGTGTTTGTTTCATTCTGTTCTGTGTTTTCTAAAGGTTGAATCATTTACGGTTGTGCCGAACTATGGATAACTCGAAGTATTTGACTGTATATGCATTTATGAAGATGATTACCAAAAAGCAGAAATTTCCAATTAAATCTGTATATTATTACAAAAGCAATATCAAGGTTATCACAGTTAATGAAAGTATATCTGCCGAATATTTGGACAGCTATCAAACAGACATAAACTGAAAGTCGAGGACATATAGAATATATTGTGTATTAGATAGAAGAAAATTGCAGGATACTTTGGCATGTGTCACAAAGACATGGAGCTAATGTCGAAGCCGTATGCATGTGGGTATTTAGACACCACATGACAGTGAGTGAGTGAGTAAGTGAATTCAGGCTTAACTGTCAACCATGCCCTTTCTTTTAGAAACATCGAACATCGACCCATACCATGTCATGGGGTACGAAGTCTTTTGTTTGTCTTCCTAAAAAAACCAAGACAATGATTGATAGCATGAACATCGTTATGATAAACATTATACGTTAATAATACAAGTAACACATCGAGACACCCTGTTTTGCGATGCCAAGGAGAAACCGTAGTTATATGTGACAAAAATACTCTTTATACTAATAAGACTTGAGTTGAGTTGAGTTTATGTACTCCCCATCAAAAGTTTAGCCTCATTAGTGTAAATGTAGCCAAGTCAACTCTTCTTAACTAGATTTTGCAAAATAACCATACTGTTTAAAGTTCCTGTTTACACATGCACTAATATATTGTAACATTGTCATGGGCTAAAAAAATGATGAAACAGAGTGAAAATTGGCGAATTTTGTAACACAATTTTACGCCACAACACAGCTGTTCACATGCACGATATTTGCATATGCTTTTTAGCAATTTAATGCATGATCCTCGTGCAATTCATCTGCATAAAGTTTGCAGTTGGTTCCCCAAAGTTAGTAGGGAAATTCATCTTCGATATAACCACACATATATACATTACATATAGTGAGTGCTTTAAGTGAGTCAAAACTTTTGATGGGTAGTATATGTTGTAACGTCGAGCTAAAGATCGTTTCACGTATATAGCGACTGTTATAAGGATACTGGTGTTATACTGCTAGCCAGCTGAGATACCATAACAGTTTAACATGGATACTCCGCACTGTGTCCATGTGAAGATGGACCAGTGAAGATCCGGTTTAGAACCGGTCATCAGCAACCCATGCTTGTCTTAAGAGGAGACTGACGGGGTCGGGTGACCAGGCTCGCTGACTTGGTTGACACATGTCATCGTATCCCAATTGCGTAGATAGGTGCTGATGCTGTCGATCACTGGAATGTCTGGTCCAGACTGGATTGTTTTCGGACCGCCATACAGCTGGAATATTGTTGAGATCAGCGTTAAACAACAAACAAACAAACAAAACAAGCAAACATCCCTGAGTCAATGAGGTTTTGTCTTTACCCCGTTATGCAGTACGCCAAGCATTGGTACAATTACCATCTTGTAACGTTTTTTGGCAAACCGGGACTTGGGGATCCTACATCGACTTTCCAATCTTCGGAGAAACAGATACCACGGTGTCAGTCTTGTTTACGGAACAATATATCTGCCACAGAATTCACGGGGACTACAGATAAAACATCTTGGAAATGAAAACGGTCTCTTTTGCTAAGTAAAACATTGATTGAGTCATTGGAACTTTCAACTGTTAATGCTTACTTTAAGTGTGTCGCAAAGCAGCATCTCATTCCAGTCTCCACAAATTACCAAAGAGCACTATACCAATCAGAGGATGTATTTTATCCGTCTGAGATGTCCTGAGAATGTATGACCATAGAATCGAAAGGAAGTTGGCCGTATCTTCCCTCACCATGTTAGATGGGATTGTTGGATTTTGGATAGCTCACAGTCTACATCAGACAAGATGTGTATCGTGAATCTTCTCCCATGTGTACGTGGAGACACATATGTTTTCCTGTTTGATGGACCTATCTATAGATCTGCCATTGTCGTTTCAGAGCGATACTTCGCAAAAGTCAATGCTGTAATCCAATTTCTGTAAGACGCCTTCGAAATCAATAGTTTTTCTTGGAGTTATTTTCTTAATTTCACACCCCAGTGTATTTTGTTCACAGACAGGGTATTGTAAACACTTTTTCTGAGCAATTATACCATCGAGCTACTTGACAAGTTTTGTAATAGATTTTCACAAAACCACTTACAGTTTTCCTGAAAGCATTGTACAATGAATGTCTTTTTTGGACGTGTTTATAGCAATGTATTCGTCTCGTCGGTTGCTTTATCCCACGAATGTCATTCAAATGACACTATTTCATGTTATATGCAAATTATAGGGCTTTAGACAACCGTTTCCCTGACATGAGTCGTTCAAGAATTAACAAAACCTCGTCTCACATACACTCACAGCAATCCGAGCTTATACAATGCTTTATGAACGAATAAAATACAATGAATGACGATTCTTAAGAAAATATCGGATTGAGGTCTTGGTTGACGCCAAGAATTAATTTTCCGTTTTTCAGTCCAATGATTTTTAATCATCTGATATAGCAACAGCTCCATGTATCCTCCAGATTCCAACTGCATAAAGCAAACTTTTTCCAATTCGTATAATGGCGTTTTTACTTCACAGGATAACATCTGATTCACGCTTGATGTGAACCGAGAGATTGATGTAATTTCAAGTATTTTCTAATTTTGCCCATTACGTGAATTGAATGTTTCGTCTCTACGTTTTTCTACGTATTCTTAAGAGTTGCAATCGATATCAGTATATTTTGATTAATCAATAACGAAACTTTTCGAGATTTTGAAGCCTTGCGGATCTTTCAGAAATGACGGTTCGACAAAACTACCCGTCTCATTATTACATTGGTGTTGTAAAACCCTACGTATGTCTATGTCTACGCATGTGCCGCAATAGGAGGAAGACCTAGTTTTCAAATTATGAAACACGTATTTTCACAAGCCGGTGACGAAACATATTCCACAACATTTAAGATTTAGGGCGCGGTGGGGTAACCGAGTGGTAAAAGCGTTTGCTCGTCACCCCGATGACCCGGGTTCGATTCTCCATATGGGTACAATGTGTGAAGCCCATATTCGGGTGTCCCCCGCTGGGATATTGCTAAAAGCGGCGTGTTACGACGTAAATTGTAAAACCAAACTGACTCGATCACTTAAAGTTAAGTGATCCAAAATGAACATAGCAGTTACGCCCTACTCAGTTCCACTTGCCGGCAACCAAAACTTAATCCTGGTACTTCTAACTTAAGGTGGTTATAGTACTTACAGCCATTATCCATCGCCTCCTATGAGGAATATAGTGACAAAACCAGAGAGATTAGCTGGTATGGTTTTACGCCACGTTGTGCAATCCTCCATCAGTGTGGCCTGGGACACCAATGCCACTTTTCATATTGTGACCTAACAGAATCAAACTCATGACTTAAGAGTGACCAACAAACCCGTTAATCAGCACACTATACAAACAAGCATGAATGACAGGACTGGAGTGAATTGGATTTTAATGTCATGTATAGATACACCACATATCAGGGTGGTGTGGGACGGAATGCGGCAGGTCTTATTTCTGAAACTTTGGAGAAACCAAGAATGTGAAAGGATGACACAGCTGGAACCACAATGAGGACAATCGTGGACACTATCATAGGTTCCTGGCACGGCCAAAGGATGCAGTTCTTCAATGGCAATGTGTTAATTCTTAACGACTGGCCCATTTCTGGTGTCCCCCTCCGCAATATTTCTGGAATATTGCTAAAAGCGGCGTAAAACTAAACTCAGTCAGTCAGTCTTAACGACTGAAACCCTTGGCCGCTGCATATGGTGTAAAAGATCCTCCACCCTTCTGATAGCAATGGAATTGTTCTGGAAATTAATGAAACGTGATGATTTAATTGATCAAAGGTAGATAATTGTTTTATCCTGGAAGGCAAGTCCAAAATAAAATAAGTGATCAGTCTTTAAGTCCACCAGGTTTTAGGTCTTGTACTACATTTACACCGAACACGCTTATAACGAATGAATGGATATACCGAACAATGTCCCAGCCACTTGCATCTTTTTTCGAAATGCGTATAACGAACTACGGTTGTACCGAACTAAAATTATTGGTTCCTTTGGGTTCGTCATAACCTTAGTTTACTGAATGTATGTTTCCAGGTATCACCTTCGCCCATCAGAAAGACGCCATGGAGACGGCGATAAAAGCTGCTGTGACGGTGTGGGTGACGGGGATACGGGACATGGTCAACCAAAGGATGCTCACGAAGGTGGACCTACATCCCAAGATCAACTGTCAGGACGGGGGAAGGATGTACTGGGATGACGGAGAGATAATGTACAAGTAAGTCAAGTGTTCCGGTTACATCACGGGCGTCACGCGTTGAATCGTTTGGAATCGAACCCGTTTCGCACGACGGGCGAACATCTGAAACCACTGGACAACCCCAAAAGCCCCCTCGTTTGCACAACTGTGACTGGTGTTATGATAGTCCCTCGGTACTATCTTAATGTCTTACCTCACTATCAGAGCGTCTATGTGTGTGTGTGTGTGTGTGTGTGTGAGAGAGAGAGAGAGAGAGAGAGAGAGAGAGAGAGAGAGAGAGAGAGAGAGAGAGAGAGAGAGAGAGAGAGAGAGAGAGAGAGAGAGAGAGAGAGAGAGAATGATGCAGATATTTAGAATTCAGAAGATTCAGTGCAATCCCCAACACTGACATATAGTCTGTGGGGATAACATAACACTGCATAAAGCCTGTAATGCCCTACGAGCACTCCAATCCCACTCGACCCAAAGTTGTCAATGACCCACTTACAGAGGCTATTACATTAATTTTCCCCGTAGTTTACTCGACGTGAGAATCGCCCTGCAAACACGACCTGACGTGACTCTGCAGGTTATAGATAGTAATCTATCGGAACCACGTTTCTTTCCTTGAAGCGTAGTTTTTCTAGCTGGAACATGTGTGCAATGTTAAGTTGTTTCTTGTGGATGTTTAATGTGTAGACTCCTCAGCGGTTGTTCCCCTCTAACATGACTTGTGTAATACATTGCATTCCGCAATCGCTCTTTCCATTACCTCCACGGGCCGTGCAGCGCGAGGGTTTTTAACTACTGTATACACAACTGAAAGAACTTTTGTACAATGCTGCTTGGGCTGATACCCCCAGTGTGAAACGTGCACTGAACAAACATCCTGGTACTCAAATAAGACGACAAAACTCTTTTCACATCCATATGAAATCTCTGTTAAAGGTCGATTATACAATTCCGGCTATATATGAGTGTGACTTTAGTTTTACGCCGCACTCAGCACTATTCCAGCTATATGGCGTCGGTCTGCAAATAATCCAGTGATTATCATCATGAGCATCGATCTACGCAATTGGGATACGATGACATGTGTCTACCAAATGAGCGAGTCTGACCACCGGAAGCCTTTACTCGCTTCTTACGACAACAATTGGTTGCTGAAGATCAATTCTAACCATCCGGATATATCATGTCGAGCATGTGTTTATGAATCACTAACGCATGGTGATAATGCCAGGTGTTTGCGAAAAAGTAAGGGCATCCTCTTCCACCGGTGGCACGCGTCATGAACAAGTACAATCGTTTGCGTAAAAGTGCCCATGGAAACGCATGGTCAAAATTCGTAATTGGATCTGCCATCATTTACATCATTACATCATTTAGAAATGTACTCCACAAAATTATATTGACGCACTGGACGTTAATTATATATTGATATGATATGATGTTTTTCAGACTGACACTTCACAATTTGTGTCATTACAAACTTTAAGGTATTTTTGAACATCTGTAATGATAAGGGCCAAAAGACAGTTTCACCTCAATAATTATTCCCCATTTAAAATTATTAATGTGAAGATCATTACATCTGCAGGAAAAATTCAACTGGTTTGAATGTCCATTTGAAACATTATGAAATGAATCAAACACGTCAGTTTCTTGTAGGTGTCACCTTCATCTCCACGAACAGTTAATTATTTTGGGGTAAAACGTGGGCATATTTCGTTATTCCAGTTTCCTTCTTGAGCACATTATATGGACACGCTCATCTGGTTCAAGGTTAGGAAAAAAACATGAATGCTTGCCACATCAGAACATGACTCGATCAGGCTACAGCAAAGCGTTCTCACAAGTCTCATTTGTGTTCAGTGTATCAAATTCCAGTGCAAAAAAACCACGAGAGTTAGATGTTTAAATGTCAGATGTTACGCAAGAGTCAGAGCGTTTTACCAGCGCTCCATTAATAACTTGACGGAAGATTTCATTGCTCTTAAGAGACCTCTGTATAATGTCATTGCAATACGAGGAGATGGAACATCAGTGCAAGCTAATGGCAGCAACTGATTCACATTGTGTTCGAAAAGGCTTAACCAAACATAACAGTTTACGTGTTTGCAATGGACTCTGTATCTGATGATGGCGTGGCTCGATCATCGCCATCATTTCACGACATTATTACATTCTCAAATATTTAACACATTTAAGTACGTTTTCTACAAAAAACAAAATATATTACCAACGTTCGCAGCAAAGCACATCCTTAACCAATCCCCATATCTAGTATTACCGACCGAGATCACCTAAGCTGAGAAACTGAACCTAATTAAATAAGATGAGCTTTGAAAGGAAACAGGCATTAACGATTGAAGCTGGATTTACACCACCATCCCAATTATGGAGTATCAGTTACTCGATAACTGCGCATGTCCGGTAATTTGTCGACTTAAGGAAGTAGGCAACACCACGTGATGGACAGGTCACGTGAGTGCTGGAGAAGTGTTTCCCCAACAAATACAATGAACGCAAGCGGAAGACCGTTTATGCTGTCATTAGAGTGAGAAAAACATCCCCTGTCTATTGTTAGATGCTAATGGCGTGGCATGTATAGCTACTTCCCAAATTACTGCCATTTAAGAGCGTTAAATACATTTTGTTCGTGGTAAATTGGTTTTGTAAACTTTCCTTCCTGTGGAGTTTCTCGTGCATGTGATTCCTTAAATATGATGCATAGGCCTTTAAGCACAAGTCCATGTTTTTGGTTACATTGTCCTGGTGTAGTTTATTGACCACATTTTAGATCTGAATTCATTATATGTCATAATACCTTTACGTTCGAACTGAAAATAGTTCTTGCATGCCTTATTGTACTTCCGGACTATTTCATAAGAATAAAATTAATCTGCTATTAACATATTAACCACAGTCACAAACGAGTGAGTGAGTTAATTTTACGCCCCATTTAGCGATATTCCAGCAATATCACGACGGAGGACACCAGAACTTGGCTTCACACATGTACACATGTGGGGAATCGAACCCAGATCTTTAGCGTGACGAGCGAACGGTTGAACCACTAGGCTACCCTCCCGCCCAAGTCACAAACGAGTACACTGGTATTCTTATTTTGAGTGTTAACTTTTGTTAACATATTTTGAAAAGTATACTCATGCCAATAATGGTTGTCACCCCCCCCACCCCACCCCCACCTCACAACCTCTTCACCCCACACCCCTCTCCAATTAAAAAATTGAAGGGGGTGACAACCATTATTGGCATGAGTATATATACAAAATTAAGAATATTAGGATAGCGTTGCTATGACTAAACATCGGGACAGTTAACTACGGTTATGACGAACTTATATACGTCAATTCGTTACATGCGTGGTCATGTATACGTGTAGTTTAATGTTTGCATACATTTGTGAAAAATATAAGTCATCGGGACCAATAACAAACCGAACCGAGACAAACGAACCGTGGGTGTTCTGCCATATTGCTGTAGTCAGTCAGTCAGTATATGGCTGAAATAATGCAAATGCGGCTTTAAATATTTACTCGCTCACTGATCGCATCCGTGGTGTAGTGGTTAGAGTTGAAGGTCGCGGGCTCGATCCCCGGCCGCGTCATACCAAAAGACGTTAAAATATGGTACTTATTCCCTGTCTGGCGTTCGGCATTAATGGGTACAACAAGGACTGGTCGTCTCGGAGTCAGTATAATGTGTCTGAGTGGGGTATTCATACTTAACTGCGGCATGGTATCTCAGTAAGCTGGCACTATAAAACCAGCTTAAGTCTGGGCTAGTACAAGCAGCCACACATACACGCGCATGCACGTCGTCATATGAGCGAAATATTCTCAAGCACGACGTTAAACCCAATTTCACCTCACCTCACCTTCAAATTGGGAAAGTGTATATACCAACAAAACACTCATATCATGATCAACATTGTTTGTTTGTTTGTTTGTTTATTGTTTATCGCCGCACTCAGCAATATTCCAGCTATATGGCGGCGGTCTGAAAATATTCGAGTCTGAACGTTGCTAACCAATGATCAACAACATGGATATTGAAATATTGTTAAGTACTAGTGCAAGCAGACACACATACACGCGCATGCACGTCGTCATATGAGCGAAATATTCTCAAGCACGACGTTAAACCCATTTCACCTCACCTCACCTACTTGCTCAACCACTCACTCTCTCAAAAGCCATATCGCCTTAAACGACTTATCGAATTAACGGAATTCGATATAACGAGTGTTCAGTCTATCCCAATGCTGTTTCAGCTACATGAAGAACATCACAGTGACTCGGCCCCCGGTAATGTCTTTCAACAAAACAGGTGTCTTGAAGTTTACCGAACTCCGGATTGTGAATCTCCAGGTTCGAGGCCAAGGCAGGAAGTGGATTGAGGTAAGCACCGATACGAATACTGTCTGTTACCAAGCTGGGATAACTGGTGATCGAAACCTTTTAAACCAGATTTAAAACCTTGATTGTTTTAGAATATGGACAATATATATGTTCATAAAACTGTCACAATAAATCAACGTTAATGTTTGGTTCGAAATGACTGTGAAGTTTAACTTTATTCCTGTGATCCTTCAGATGAAGTGAAAACGTTTCTTTTTTAGAAGTTTATTTTAACAAATTTGGGAAAACGTATATACCAACAAAACAATCATTTTATGATCTGTGGACCTTGCCATTAAATGTCGATGGATGGCAATGATAAACATGGACCCAGTACAATTTAGAAAAACGTTTTTTTCCAGATTCTAAAAATATTTTGTGACCATGCACGTATCGCCCTGTCGATGGGGTCGACAGCAAACTATAATGGCTCTTTCTCTTCTAAGCTTATCCGCCGTCTTACCTTTTATCCTACACAAAGAAATTAATCCTTTCTTTGTCAGGCCAATTTGACACTGCAACCTGGTTAATGGATGTATTTAAGTGCAAATTTTGTGCTGATAAAGATATGATCCTGGGATAAAACAATAATTACTGCTCTGGTCTACGCATACATACACCGCAGTGTCATAACCTCAAGGCATGAACTCTTCAAGTAAAGCGTATGTGCCCGACAAGAAGATTCCTGTAATTCTATAGAGACCTCGAAAATATCTGATGTTGTCAAAGAAGCAGGCATCCTCTCCAAATCTTGGTTTAAGATGGCTGCCAGTGCTTGCAGATCTAACCCCTCAGGTTGAAAGGGGATGAGGATGGAGACTCTGGCACAGGGAGCGCCCTTTGTTGTAGTATTTATGACGGATTGTACTCTGGGATGGGATAAATATGATACATCCATCGACCACATGGAAGAAGTATGTATGTGTTATTGAATCAGCAAGGGTATTGGGTATATTAATGCCCTCGACTATACGAATCTTTGGGGACAGTCTGCCATCGGAGTTCGTGTTGCAAGTACAAAATGTGTAATATAAATGCATTGATATGTGAGTGGAGGGGAAGCGTGAGTTCACGAAGTTATAAAAACTGCATGTATTACGTTCAGTTGTCACGGGGGTGATGTTATACGAGACAGAAATCTATTTCAGCAATATTTCGACAATCAATCAACTGATGTCTGCACAGGAGTCCCCCTATAGGTCTTTCCGATGCCCGCCATGGGTACAGTCATAGGCGGTGTACTAATTTCCTTATGAATCCTCGGGGAATATGGCCATAATTATTGGTTAAGCATGTTATAACTAATGACCGAGGGGTTGTGCAGATATTAAGGAATGCATAAATCTACATGGCGTGGGAGTGAGTGAATGAGTTGGGTTTAAGCTGCTTCGAATAGAATTCAAGTGATATGTGTCAAGTTTCGCCTGGTTTGTTTGTTCATAAGAAGTGAAAACTCATTTGTTTCTTTTGAAAGTGTATTTCATCTTCTCATCACTTTCAAATTGGGAAAGTGTATATACCAACAAAACACAACATATGATCAACATTGTTTGTTTGTTGCTTAACGCCACACTCAGCAATATTCCAGCAATATGGCGGCGGTCTGCAAGTAATCGAGTCTGAACGCTGCAAACCAGTGATCAACAACATGGATGCTTTGACATGTGTCAACCAAGTCAGCAAGCCTGACCACCCGATCCCGTTAGTCACCTCCTACGACAAGCATGGGTTACTGAAGACATATGTCAGCTCAGTGGGGAGAGACGACCCAGATCGATACAGGTAGCGGTTGCATACCATTATCGTGAATCCCACGTGTAATAGTATTGTGCTGACGACTGTAGAAGCATTATCGGCGAACTTGGATGTGAATCCACCATTATAAATGTCTGGCCTAAGGAACCTTACTCTGCACGTGACCCGTGCACATCCGGTTTAGAATTGATCTTCAGCAACCCATATGTGGCGACTAACGGGAACGGGTGGTCAGACTCGCTGACTTGGTTGACACATGTCATCGTATCAGAAATGCGTAGATCGATATTCATGATGTTGATCACTGGATTGTCTGGCCTTCAGTGGTATTGCATGGTGAGCAAATATTAAATTTGTCAGCTGAGACGATGTTTTTTTGTATTACATTTCAAACAATCAATAATAACTGTTTTTATTCACAACACAGAGTCGTTTTGTTTAATATTCCATACAACATGTTACACATTCCCCTTTGTTGAGTCTTTGAATCAATTAAAAACTGTCGACAATACATTGTACATCTACACATTGTATCATCAGTGACCTCATTCCACATGATTTCATATATACTAAAATGTTATTAGGTCGTTTTTACACATCCGTCCTGGTATTGCTCGTTATTTTTGTTTATTTTCAAACATTGTTAACTGGTGGATTTGTGTTGGTTAGTGTAGGTGGTACCTTTGAATTCGTGACAAAAATATACATATGCCAGACTATAAATGATAACGTGTGTGTGTGGTGTGTTTGTTTGTTTGTGCGTGTGTGCGTGTGTGCGTGTGTGCGTGCGTGTGTGTGTGTGTGACGAAGGTGATACCAGTTAACATAAAAGACTAGGGGTGGGTATTGCAGAGAATTTTCATATTGCGATATATTGCGATGCGCAAGCATGTATTGCGATATGTATTGCAATATATAGCATGAAGCATTTTTATACAAAAACTACTTATAATCAAGTTACTTCTTGATTTATAGAGCAACAACACAACAAATCACAAGGCTTGATTAAGCTTTAATAACAACTTTTAATCATGATAAAATAAAAATGTGAATAATATTTGGCACAAATGAAACAAGGACATATCCGAACATTTCCGAGTGTTACGAAGTTTTCCGAATGCAAGTCAAAATACCGGTTTTCGATCAGCGTATCGCAATACGTATCGTTTTCATGTCTGAACCGGTAAATACCGGTAAACCGGTTATATTGCGCAGCCCTATAAATGACTGCAAGTACGTAAATAACATGTTGCCTAGATACATGTACACGTCGTTGAGTTTATTAACCAAATCACAATCTGATTACGATCCTTGGTTTCTTTGTATCCTTGAGGTCTTCGTTTTCACCGACGTTGTAAACGTTATAACTATTATATATATCTTAGATCTTTCGTCAAGCTTTGAACTAATGTCAAGCATATAGTGACATATCTGCCCTACTCATTAACGATGTTTACAAGTAGATCATCAAAGTAGAAACTCGTATATAGACGTCACACAACAATGGGCACAACGATGAGTGATATATAGGAAGAGAATGGATCTTATATTTAATACCTTTTAGGCTTCAGATCCATGGTTTTACACTACAGATTCTATTCCGTTACGCATTTCTTAAACAACTTTCATTGTTCTGTCCTTAGGTTGGCAAATGGACAAAAAATGAATTGGAAATGCAAGACATCACGTGGCCAGGTGGGGCGACATCACCCCCTGTAGGCAAACCAGATCGCCCGTTTGTACGTATCGCCACACTGAAGGAGGAGCCGTACGTGATGTATGGGGAACCGAATGAAGACGGGAAGTGTCAACTGGGAGCTGTACGCTGTGACATCTTCAATAGGGACGAGAAGAAGAGAAAGTGAGTTCATCAATTCACTGGTGCTTCGAATTTTAGAAATGGCTGCTGTACATATGATCTGTCCAGGAATGCAATGGTACTGGTCAGCCGTGATTGATGTTGTCCAAATGGAACACAGGGATATTATTTCACGTGGTAATTTTGCGGAGTCATCCGGTTGATCCACAGTCTTAATGGAATGGCTTTTAAGGGAACCACTACGTCGCCATAAATTATTGTATGTACCCCACAGGAAATACATATTACCATCAATATGGTAAACATACCAGGAAGTAGCAGTGGTACCATGTCTTTATTTCAGGATTGCTGTAGAAGCACTGTCACTTGAAACAGCGGAACATATACATCTATGCCACATACATAATTCCCTTTATGCAGACAAGATCTTTCTCCGCACAGCGGCTTTTCATGGGTAATGGAAAACCATGTTGCGAAAGGTCTTGCGTGCACAAGGGCTTTTTGATCAACACGAATATTTGAACTCTTGTGTATTTATGTTTATATTTCTGTTTTATATATAGTGCATATCGTTATGTCGAACTTTGTGGACCGGCGAATGTCCGGGTTAGAATCGATGTTCAGGAACCCATTGGTTCCCAATTGCGCAGATCGATGCTCATGCTGTTGATCACTGGATTGTCTGGTCCAGACTCGATTATTTACAGACCGCCGCCATATAGCTGGGATATTGCTGAGTGCGGAGTAAAACTCACTCACTCACTCGAACTTTGTGTGTCGAACGTACAGTTGTCACGAAGTAAATGCTTGGATCTGTTGTATTTTGGTTATTCATTTATCTTTCGGTTGTGTCGAACTTTGGATAACTCGAAGTCTTTACAACGTCGACACAACGGTGTTTAATCATATATTGCTTTAACCATGCTGAACCTTTGTGGGGGGCATCATGAACGACTGTGACATCGTTTTTATAGACTCAGCAACCATACAGTGGAGAAATGCTGCAACGGCCTCAGCATCGACCTTCTTATCGACCTCAGTGAACAGCTGGACTTTGACTACCACCTGTTCGAAGTGGACGACGGTCAATGGGGAGCCATCAACAGCGTGAGTAGTTCAAAGCTGATACATCACCAACAATGGCCAGTAAACTGTTGTAAGTCATGATGTCAGTACAAACGGTTCAGCGCCTTCTTATACAACATAAGTCTCCTATTTACTGTACCGTATTATGGTATAGACTACGACAGGCGTACCATCAAAAGTATTTTTGTCATTTTTTCAAGCAGAAGAATATTTTCTCTGAAAGGATACCTTTATTTGAGAACGCATAACGCAAAATGTTATCCAATGAACTATATTTCGGAGTCAAAATAATGCTTTTGTGCTACCGAATGAGGCTTACTGAGCCAGCTTGCGGTCTTCAAACAATAAATTAGATTATCCTGGATACCGATGTTTGTTCTCTCAGCAATATGCACGTATATACAGGATCACTGAAAATGTCGTCTGCTAGCAAGTAAACAAAGGGGGATAACTCTTCACAAACTAATGAAGAAGGATTAACGGAGTTGTCGCTCTTGAATGAAACCAAGTACTTGATAGCTGGTCAAGGTTGTTTATACTAGAAATCCAATTAAACATATTCCTAAAATTCTCAATAATTTCTGGTCATACTACTCACAGGAAATCCCTATCTGTGCGATATACTAGTACACAGTAATCCGTTTACTCACGGAAGTATTAAGTGCTTAGAAAGTGAGATATAGTGATGCAAGTACTAGTATATAATGACTGAATGAATGACAGGTTTATTCGCGTTGTATAAATTTTCGCGCTAAAATGTTCTGCGCGAAAAGCGCGAAAATAAAACCTGCGCGAAATATAATACGTTTACAGTATATGTATGACACATTTCATGGCAGTAGCCCATCCCGAATGAATAACATGGTGTACATACTCAAACACGTAACATTAACAAGTTAAAAGCAGAAACATGCAAACATTTTGTTACAGTAAATAGTTGTATTTAATTCTGTAATGTTGTAATCGTATATTATTGTAATCGTACTCTTGTTGTTACATCCAGGTGACAGGGGAGTGGAATGGTTTGATCAAGGCATTGACGGACCAGAAGGCAGACATGGTCATAACATCGTTGAAGATCACGCCGGAGAGGAACTCGGCAGTGGACTTTTCAGTGCCGTTCCTGGAGACTGGCATCACGATCATCGTATCCATCAGGGAAGGGGCAATATCCCCCACAGCGTTCCTCGGTGAGCGGAAGGGGGGTGGATGGATTGAGTGAGTGAGTTGGGTTTTACGCCGCTTTTAGCAATATTCCAGCAATATCACGGCGGGGACATCAGAAATGGGTATCACACATTGCACCCACATCAGGAATCGAACCCGGGTCTTCGGCGTGACGGGATACGCTTTAACCACTAGGCTACCCCACCACCCCTGGGTGGATGGAAGATGAACGGGTGGGTTGGAGTGGGTAACGATGAGCAGGGCATTTAGAGAGTGAACTACTGAACAAAGGATTAAATATCCTCAAAACCCGAAATATCCAGTTTGTATGCAACGACGGTATCAATTATTCAAGTTGGTATTTGCAATTTACATTTGCGCGTTTTTTGTAACAATAAATAATTGGAAATTTTCACAAAGAAGAATATAATTGCAGTTGCAGAGTTCGAGATGTCAGGAATTGTGTCTACGTATAACAGTTATTTAATTTAGAGAGCTTTCTGAACACCATGGGTTCACAGTATTTGTTCTGTTGTCAACAATCTCTAGAAAGTGACAGGAACACAAAACACTATATACGTTTGTAATTACAATATCGATTCGTGGCAAAATGAGATCAAAGTTATCACTTTTTTTCATATGCATGCATCAGTTTTCAGAAATATTTTAATGATATTCGCTAAACCCATGAATTATGTGCTGTTATTTATGAACCACGACCCATACGTCAAATGAGTGTATATATACGACGTCCGCTGGTGGTAACGTGTAGTCAAACCAATGGTAGCCTGGTGGACAGGGGGGTTGATCTTGCTATGGGCCAACTACTTTTCCCGTCAGTGTTTAATAATACACGATTTGTTTCTCTGGAAGAAGGGGCACAAGTTTCCGAATGTCAACCAAAACCTAGCCCAAACATTTGTTGCATGTATTTAATAAAAAAAAATTGATCACATTCAAAAGGGGACTGTCTTCCCGAATTACAAACTATAGTCTGCACCTTCAATACACACGTGGGTGTAAACTCTGGATATATATAACCTAATGAGCCCTTATTAATTAATCTGAGCCTAGAAGTCTTGCTTAAAAAATTTAAGGTATAATTCAGCATAAAGATTTGATTTGTATTCATGTTGAGAAAGTGTTACAAAATCGGTGAAATAATTTCAATGGCTGATTTCAAACACTCATATTGAAACCAAAATGTTCACACAATGTTCAGAAAGTTCTTCACCCATGAAGATCCGGGTCAGAATTGATCTTCAATGGCCCATGCTTGTCTTAAAAGGCGACTAACGGTAGGTTCGCTGACTTGGTTGGCACATGTCATCGTATCCCTATGATCGATGCTCATGCTGTTGATCACTGGATTGTCTGACCAAGACCATTATTTACAGACCGCCGACATAATAGCTGGAATATTGCTGAGTGCGGCGTAAAACTAAACTCACTCACTCACCGACTCAGAAAGTTCTTCAGTGTGTTCCTAACGTACAATAGTAATGATGTATTTCTGTATATCGAGATGATTCCTGCGTCTGTATTTAGGAAAACAGTAATGTATCTATTTGCAAATACGCTCTTCCGGAGTATACGACGACCTATCATTAACCCATTCGACTTACATTTCAGAACCATTTGATGTAGCATCATGGGTATTTATTATACTGATAAATATTCATGCTGTTGCCGTTGGGTTGTACTTCTTTGAGAGGTACACTCCCACAATTACTGTGCATAATGACAGGGCGGGTGCACGTGGCACAGGTAACAGGGACTACCATGGCTTTGGTGGTCTAATATGTATCTTTTCTTTGGCGTCTCTTCGAAGCGTCTTCACTGCATTGCCTTAATCAGTTCCTTCAACCTTGCACTCAACTCTGGATCTTGTACGAAAGAAAAGATGACAGGTTGTCCAGAAACTCACGATTTCTATAGAATCATGTCATTGATAACCTTAAGAATACTCAATTTATAATGAATTCATTGAATGATTGAATTCCCTTTATACAATGTACTCAACCCAGAATTTGGAAATTAAAGTATTCATATATGAATGCATTAAAGATAATATGCTGAGTTAATACAGATTACCCTAATTTGTTCCCCGTGAATTGTTTTCGCACACATCGTGGTCAATACAGGTTTACTTATATTCGCCCTTTAATTATTTTAAATATGACTATCGACTTAAGTGCCATGGATCCAGAGTCCAGTGTAAGAGACGCACTCGCAAAGGTGTTCTAGTCCCTCTGTCATACGTCACCAAACGCTTCAAACTCCACCCTCTTCGTTTGAACCACGAGTGCTATTCTTACAATGTATCTCACCATAGTCCCCCTCCTAGAAATCGTTTCGTTGACTTTGTGTTGTTCTGTTTCTGGCTTTCAGAACCTTACGACTACCCATCTTGGTGCTTAATTCTGGTGTTCAGTGTGCACGCAACTGGAGCATCTATTTTCATATTCGAGTGGCTGAGCCCATATGGGTTGAACCAAGGATTGACCACAATGAGAGGTAACTGAGGTAAATCGTCAGCAGTGGCGTCAAGGGCTTTAGCAGGCCTAGGTCAAACTCGAGAGATATTTTACGAGCGCTTCCAGCTATTGCTGACTTCGCTCTGGGGTTCATGGGGATTATGCATAATACAATGTTTGGGATCATTTTCACTGAAAAGGTTCTTTGAGAGATCTAATTAATGTTTTAGCAGCTGCATATCCACTGGGAAAGCTACAGAGTACTGAAGGAATATTGTTTAACGCCGCTGTGAAAAAGTACTGCTTCGTCACGCCTGACTACGAAATAAGTATCATCAAACCAGTTACCTGCAACAATCCCGGTCATCGGGTCTGGATACCTATTTACCGTTAAACATCGTTGAGCTGAAGCTGAACGGATCTACGTAAATAATTCAAATTTCGATTCTACAAAACAAAATAATGTGAGTTTAGTTTTACGCCGTTTTCAGCAATATTACAGCAACATCACGGCGGGGGACAGCAAAAATGGGCTTCACACATTGTACCCATGTGAGGAATCGAACCCGGGTCTTCGGTGTGATGAATTTTGGAGGAAGACGAAGGGACCAAGTCTTTATTTCATGACACCCGTAACATCGACATATCAAAGTTTGACAAAACGGTGTTTGACTGTATTTGATGTTTACGATGTACATAGGGTACCAGGAAGCTACAATTGTCACAGATCATAACAGTTACAATAAACTACGGTTGTAACGAACTCAAAGTGACCACTACAACCTTAGTGCGTTATACGCATTTCGAACAGAGCAGGACAAGAATCAGTTCGATATATCCGTCAATTCGTGATAAACGTAGTATACTGTAATTTTGTTTCGAAAGTGTTCATTGTTTTTGTTGTTGTTTTTATCACAAAGGGATATGCATGTTTGTGTGTGTTCCACGTCTAGCCCATCTGGTTGTGGTGTTGTGTTCTTTGTCTTTTCACCTGGTGTTGGACGTACATTAATTAAGACACAGTGTATGATATTATTTATTATACATTATATCTATGTATATATGGCTACCGAAGCAGTAAGCACTTAGTCACGCCAAACCGAGAGCCTATGATGTTAATATGTGAAACGATGTGCAAATCATATAATGAGATGCATTATGTATATATTCTGTATTTATTCATATTCTGATATGAGGTTAATAGACATTCAACTCGGGTATTGTCACAGCCTGTGTAAGTAAATGTTTTTATTGATGAGTATGTGTGGTAATGTTTTAACAGGAATTATTGATTTTAAAACGTAGGCATTGCCTGTAATTTCGAGGCCAAGACGATATGAACATTAAGTGGGTTATGACTATCCATTTTACAGTACGTGTGGAGCTTTGTGCGAACGTCACTTTTATCAAAGTTATCTTTGTTGCCAGACGCGTCTGAAGTTATGTCAGTGTATTACTTTTAAAAACACCATGTCCTGCAATCAGACAAGTTCAGATCAGAACATCTGTCGTGTTTACGTCGAACGCAATAAAAACCCTCGTAGTCGACTTACTTCTTTTAGAAACTGGAGCAAACTGTTTCTCGGGGATGATAGTGTGATACCTACAAGTTGATCATATTTATGACAAAATTTATATAATAGTAAACAATACTATACAGTTTGAACAACACACCCATACAATGTAAATTGTACACCACCTATTATAAGCATTTTTAGATTGGTTTTCTTCAAACCAGTTAATTACAGCATAAAAACTTATATGGATATGTCAGACCAGTTTCAGAAGAAATATGCTCAAGAGTTATTTGGTTAAAAACTGTGATGTTGTTTTTTGCAATGTGGACATCTGTATTCCACACTTGTTTTTCTTCCAGACCACAAGTTCTCTCTGTTCCGGTCGTTCTGGCTGATATGGGCCATGTTGTTCAGTGCCGCAGTGTCCACAGACACTCCCAGAGGAGTCTCCAGCAGGTTCTTGGCCAACCTATGGGCTCTGTTTGCCCTTGTGTTCCTGGCCAGCTACACCGCCAACCTCGCAGCCTTCATGATCACCAAGGAGGAGTACTACGACCTGTCTGGTATCCAGGATTGGAGGGTATGTGAATGAATGAATGAATAGATTGATGGATGGATGGATGGATGGATGGATGGTTGGATGGATGGATTGTTTGAGTAGTGGCCTCAGAGATGAGGTTCGAGGGCTAAAATTTGAAAAATGGAAATGGATGGCTTTTCAGTTGGGGACCTACCTGACTGTGTGTATTGTATACTGTAGCCGTCTGTAAATAACCGAGGCAGGCGAACCTGTGAGTGATAGCATGAGCATCATATTTCGCCATTGTGGCTTAATACCACCTATGTGTATCAACAAGGCCACCAAATCATCTCTGGCTTTCATAATTCCATCATTAGCTTGATCGACCAAAATCTAGAAACTCGTAAAGAACCGGGTTAGAATGTGTCGTCAGAAAGCATGCAGTCGTTAGAGCCGAAAAACAGAATGGTCAGGTCTGTGACTTGTTGTAATGTTGTAATGATGTATCGCATTCCAATTTAGCAGATCGAAGATCATAATATCAATCACAGGTATATATGGTCCAGCTTCGATTATTTACGGACCGCCGTCTCTGAGCTTGAATGTTGCTGATGGAAGCATTCGACAAAACAAACAAGCAGCATTATCGACTGATCACACCTTACAGCCTACTTGTCGTCGTTGTTATCAGCTTGTTATTACAGCATAGCTCAGATTTATTCTCCATTATTCGCTATTTATAAAAACTGTTATAGTAATTCTGGGTAAAAACAAATTAAAAGCTTAATATGAGCTCTTATCCTGTTTTGCCAAGTGTGTATTTGATAACATAAAGCACTATGTAAATGTAAGAAACTGTTCAATAAGATAAGCGTGAGTTGGTGTGACACTGGGTTAGAACATTTTTTTCAATTATATTATAATATGTCAGGGGATGTACCGGACAGACGGGGGTGATAAGGCCTTACATACTTACCTCTTTGGGGAAACTATCAGTATGTCTATGGTCTGACTAACATGAAATCCTGTCAGGGTGAACCTGGTTAGCGCACACGGCTATAGTATACTAGCACTTCTAAGGGAGGCAACTCTCCCACAGAAAACTGTGGAGCCTTAAACAACTGAATTCCCCTACAATAAAAAGAAGGTGTTACAGCAGAATGCATACTGTAGTACATTTGAATAAAGTGCATTATGAAGATTTCATGCTGACAGCTGCAAGAGTTTTAAAATACAACCACTATTTCACAGTGGTCAAAATAGGTTCATGTCCAGCTTATTGTCTTGTGTAGACATTGCAGCCAAGACCATGTTTAACGCGTTACGTTGTAAACTAATAGGACTCAGAGAGGTTTGCCACTATTGGTAAGGAAGCTAGGTAGACATACTAGACACCCTAGGGAGGCAATATCAGTGTTATTTCATTATGGCAATACCTTCCTGTCGCTACATGTTCACCAAGTATTTTCATGGTATATTTTGATATGTGTAAGCTAATGGTGAAACGCCTCTTTTCTGAAATGGTTATAAAGAATACTTTTTGGTTGTTTACTTCATGAATAAGCATTGCCTGTTTGAACTCCTATGACAGTGTCATTGCTCATGGCACGAGAACAAGAAGGTATTTAACTTGTCATATTCCCTGAGGAACCAGTGTCACATTATTATTCTTGTTATGACAAGAAACGTATTTGTTTCCTTTTGCTGAGAAAATTCAGATGCTTTCAAATTTTGGCTTCCAAAAGTTTTCAGGATACCTTTGTCAAAATTTGGAAGTGCTTTGTGATGAAGATAATGGAAGACGTGATAATTACCACAAAATTGAACACCTCTGTTTCCAGTAACTTGTAAATTTTGTCTGTCAGATGGCACTATTCATATGCAGGCTTCATGACAGTGCGAAACATCTGTGAGCAGTCAAGAACACTTTCCTCACAAGACAGGGAGACATTATTTCGTAAATATCCCAGTCCACGTCTTTTCAGAATTCGTGTGTTATTTCCTTTGCATATGTTAGAATTATTTATACGCATTTGAATATAGCTATTATATATGTTCGTTCCCATGGGGTATGGTTATTATGTTCAATGTTAGGTTACAGTATATTAACCTTCTCATGAATGTAAATTATATGATTCCAGCTGAAGAACCCGCAGGCAATGAAGCCTCCGTTCAAGTACGCCACCATCCCTAACGGCAGCACCGAGACCAACATCAAGAACAATCACAAAGACATATACAACTACATGAGAAAGTTCAACTTGCCTACTGTGGACGAAGGAATAAAGGCTCTGAAGAAACAGTACGTCGGCAATGGCTGTTTACATAACTGTTTTGTATACATTCCGGGTAAAATTGGTCTTCAGCAACCTGTGTTTGTCGTAGGAAGGTGTACGGCGGGATCGGGTGGTCAGGCTCACTAATTTGTTTGCTTCTTGACATCGTGTCCTAAATTGGTAGATAAGTGCTCTTGATGTCAGTCACTGGGTTGTCTTGTCCAGACTCCAGACTATTTACTAAACGCCGTCATATTATTACATCTGAACCATTGCCTAATCTTAAAGAACACCAAACACACACAAAAATATGAGCATATTGAAATGTTTCATTTTGAGATCATAGGCTTGGTATAGCCTCAAGCTTTACCAAAGAGCAAGGATATTGGTGTATTATATATACACACAAAGAACTTAATTAAGCACCCCTTGTAATTTTGGTTTTAAACACGTACATAAAACTTCTTCTGGTGACCACGATGGAACAACATGGGTTATAATTGCTCATTTAAAAGAACCTACTGATTTTCATACAAAACTATTCTGTACAAGCATGGCCCTAGAATGTTTACTGTTGATTTATTGGTGAATGTGAACATTCAAAATGTAATTTTGGGAGTCTTACACGATTCAAGGTCAATACCGAGTGTAACCTCCATGTGACTGTATGACAGCCAGCACTTTCCTCCTCATAACCCCTGTCAGCCTCCTGTTAATCTGAAGGGGCAGTCTGCGACATTCCTCGTATAAAGCAGTTTCCAGTAGGGCCAGGTTCTGTACAGGAGGATCCTTTTGTTGACCAATCTTGCCCAAGATATGCTCCAAAGGGTTAGGATCGGGGTTCATTCAATCGTGAGATGTGTCATAGATAGATGCTTAACTAAGTTCTTTGTGTATATTTAGGTTCATGCATGTCAGTCTTTCCACTGATGAGATAGCAAACCAGATGATGACGTCGTCCATTTTGTATATACGTCAGATGGTCAAACACTGAGTGAGATAAAAACCAGGAAACTCACATTTTCTACATTTTCTCAGAAAAAATGACTTTGGCCAGTATAACGAATAACACGATCTCAGCTCGTAAATACAAATTAGCTGTCCTACGTGAAATAATGCTGAAAGTCCTTAGGTGTCAGAACTACTTAACTGACTTCCCCCTGGGAATCCTTTGTAAATGTGGTCCACATTGTTTTTCAGGGATATTCATGCTTTCATCTATGATGCAACTGTTCTGGAATATTATGCCGGGAAAGACGAAGAATGTCGCCTAATCACTGTGGGCAAAAGCTGGTACGCGATGACAGGTTATGGGGTTGCGTTTCCAAAAGGTTCGCACTGGATTGACAAAGTCAACACAGTATTACTGGATTTGCAAGAAGGAGGTAAGACAGATTTGTAAGGAGGCTGAATTTGGTGGTATTGATACTGTGTACAATACTATGTATCGAACCAATTCGTGGTCTAGTGGATAGAGTTTCTGCCGGGAGAGCGGAAGCTCGGTGGTTCGATTCTGGGCCACTTCATATGAATGGTTGTGTAACGATCGTACGCTCTCCTTCATTGCGATCGGCATTAATGTGGCCTGGAGTCAGTAGAGCGTGCATCAATTGGGTATTCATGTGAAACTGCGGCCTTGTATCACAGAGAGCTAGCACCTTACACTCGCCATTGGTAAAGTGAGGTGAGGTGAAATTGGGTTTAACGTTGTGCTTGAGAATATTTCGCTCATATGACGACGTGCATGCGTGTGTATGTACTATGTGCGGCTGCTTGTACTAGCCCAGACTTATGCTGGTTTTATAGTGCTAGCCCACTGAGATACCGTGCCGCAGTGAAGCATGAATACCCAACTCAGACACATTATATTGACTCCGAGCCGACCAGTCCTTGTTGTACCCATTACTGCCGAGCGCCAGGCAGATACCAACAAGTACCATATTTTAACGTCTTTTGGTATGACGCGGTCGGGGATCGAACCCGCGACCTTCCGCCATTGGTATGGACTAAGAAGCGAAACACATACACTGTGCACGTCGCAATGACCTTGAATATACCACTAAACGCGATTTCATCTCACCTCAAATCTTATTAGTTTAACATGAAAAGAATTTGTTCACAAATATTTTTTTTCACTTTTTTCACTGTTTTTTAACTTCTATAATCTAATTTTGATTTGTGGTTAAACATGTTTAATAAATAATGACATTATCATCCATCCTATGTCTAAGATGTGTCCATGAATATCTCCAATTGTATCTCAAGATTAAGCTGTATATATAGAGGGATCATTTTAATTCAGTTATATCAAGGTCTACATCAGTATTGGGGATTGATAAAACTCGATTATGAACGTACCACCTCTATATTTAGCCCAGCTTAATGAAATTGCAAATTGAATTGATCTGCCATATGAAATATAATTTAAAATCTGGAAGCACTCATTGCGAAGTTTCTCTTTTCTCTTTTAAACTGTAGCACACTTATGTTACGTGCATGTTGTTTGTCAACTGTGTTTCACATTCTGTTTAAAACAACAACTAAATATATTAACAGTTACAAATGCCAAAGGACTTTTGCGTTTTACGAGAAATTACAAAAGAACATCCGCATTAAAACGATTTTATTACGCAGTTAATTCTCCACGAGTGCCTATAAATCTAACCTTGACCTATCATTTAGGTGAAATGGAACGTCTACAGAAGTTCTGGCTGGCAGGGGCTTGTCAGAAGAAAGAGAAGACCGGCGTCTCAAGCCACACCCTCGGCATCCTGAACTTCACCAGCGCCTTCATCCTTCTGGCCGGCGGCATGGTCCTCGGCGCAATACTTCTGATGCTGGAACACTGCTACTTTAGGTTCGGACGGAAGAGTCTGAAGAAGTGGGACACTTGTGGTTGCTGTACCTTAGTCAGTCTGGTATGTCCCTCTTATGTGTTGACGTTAAATATTAACTCACTCACTCACTCTTATGTGTATTGTTTCTTCCTTCTAACGGAAGAGTCTGAAGAAGTGGGACACTTGTGGTTGCTGTACCTTAGTCAGTCTGGTATGTCCCTCTTATGTGTTGACGTTAAATATTAACTCACTCACTCACTCTTATGTGTATTGTTTCTTCCTTCTAACGGAAGAGTCTGAAGAAGTGGGACACTTGTGGTTGTTGTACCTTTAGTCAGTCTGGTATGTCCCTCTTATGTGTTGACGTTAAATATTAACTCACTCACTCACTCTTATGTGTATTGTTTCTTCCTTCTAACGGAAGAGTCTGAAGAAGTGGGACACTTGTGGTTGTTGTACCTTAGTCAGTCTGGTATGTCCCTCTTATGTGTTGACGTTAAATATTAACTCACTCACTCACTCTTATGTGTATTGTTTCTTCCTTCTAACGGAAGAGTCTGAAGAAGTGGGACACTTGTGGTTGTTGTACCTTAGTCAGTCTGGTATGTCCCTATTTATGTGTTGACGTTAAATATTAACTCACTCACTCACTCTTATGTGTATTGTTTCTTCCTTCTAACGGAAGAGTCTGAAGAAGTGGGACACTTGTGGTTGCTGTACCTTAGTCAGTCTGGTATGTCCCTCTTATGTGTTGACGTTAAATATTAACTCACTCACTCACTCTTATGTGTATTGTTTCTTCCTTCTAACGGAAGAGTCTGAAGAAGTGGGACACTTGTGGTTGCTGTACCTTAGTCAGTCTGGTATGTCCCTCTTATGTGTTGACGTTAAATATTAACTCACTCACTCACTCTTATGTGTATTGTTTCTTCCTTGTAACGGAAGAGTCTGAAGAAGTGGGACACTTGTGGTTGTTGTACCTTAGTCAGTCTGGTATGTCCCTCTTATGTGTTGACGTTAAATATTAACTCACTCACTCACTCTTATGTGTATTGTTTCTTCCTTCTAACGGGAGAGAGTACACACATATTCTACAAGGGAACTAAAAAAGAACCACGACTAAGTTCGTTATGACCGTAGTTCGTTATACGCATTTCATACACTATATACTTTAGTATAACATACGGGGCGGTGGGGTAGTCTAGTGGTTGAAGCGTTCGCCCGTCACGCCGAAATCTCGGGTTCGATTCAACACATGGACACAGTGTGTGAAGCCCATATCTGGTGTCCCCCGCCGTGACATTGTTGGAATATTGCTAAAAGCGGTGTAAATCCATACTCCGTCAGTCAGTATTATAACATATCTCAGATATGATAGTCCACTATAATATATATGTTCGTTGCATTCGTCAGCTAGTTACAATCGTGTTCGTTATAAGGGTAACTTTACTGTGTCTACTCTGAAGCTCCGATGCACATGTTCCTTGAGACGTCATGTGGACGTAATCTGGTGCCAGATTCTCATTCACATCTGGTGACGGATCAAATACGTCCCCATCGAACCGTGGCTTGTATGTTTGATTTTACCTAGCAACTAACACATGAATGTATTTGTTTACCCGTTACAAAGCCTCGTTCAAGTTGGTATGTACAGTCACTCATTGGATATGCAAAAACTAAAAGGTCAAATCTATTTGTGTTCTTGTATGCGGCATAAACAAACCTTTCGACTGCGTAATATGTAGTGCAGATTTGCAGGAAAGAGGAGCCAGGAATAATTGTTCACAGTTGCCTCCCTTTGTCCTCAGAATATGCTGGTTGTGCATTCAGTCAAGGTTTATCTGGCGAAATTATAAATGGAATGTCTGTAGATCATTGTGTGGCAGTAGTTCAAAGCGATTGCGATACAATTTTATTATTGGTCCTGAAAATGATCATAGCTTAAAAAACGGACGCCTGTTCCAAACTACCAATATTTTTATATAGAAATTGACTGTTACATGGCCAATGCAACCAAAACACTAGCCCAAGTGAGATGGTTGTGTATAAACAGTTGGTTCAACATCAACGTTCAGACAGCATTTCATTTTTTTCATTTCTTACAGTGAATGTCAATAATTTGGATTGTCGGTGTCCTAAAACATGAAATATAGCTTCCTACTAGACACATATATCCAATACATCTAATCCTTTATATATTTTTTCAGAGCATGGGGAAGTCGTTGACGTTCGAAGCGTCTGTCATTGAAGCCATTAACCTGCACAGGAGAACCAAGTGTACTGATCCTGTGTGTGAGAACACAGCTGTGGAAGATAAAACATGAGCTGGACCTAGCTCTACTCAAAATCGATAATTTGCAAAATAATATTGGGTATGTATGTTGCCTAGATGAATCTATCTGAAACTTTTACACGGGATTATATAATGAACAAACCTACCAAAGCCACAGTAACGAGCACTATAATCTAAACTTACCGAGGTCACAACAGTGATCTTGAAATATTTTCTTTTGAAAATGTGTGCTTTGTCGCCTTTTTGAACAATAATTATCCCGAGAGTAAAAGTGATCTTTTAACCTTTTTTCATTGGATATAATATCATGTTGTAAAATGACATTTTCATCTCACATACAAATCAGAGCAATGATGCTGAAACCTCTTAAGGACGATTGTTAGAGGAACATGTATGTGTAAATGTTACCATTAATCTGTGACCTTGCCACATAATCTGCGTTATATTTCGAACACTGTTTGTATAGTGGCTAGTGAAAGTAAACAATGTTTTGGCGTAAACGTTTGGATTTTTAGATGTCCGCCATTTCATATTCACGCTGAGTCATGCTATTCCATTATGTATTCGGTTTTATTTATTTTTAAATTCAAGATGGTCGCCATAATGGTTTATGAATAGGTAGGCAATATTATTGTTAATGAGTGATGTTTGTGGATGATTTAAGCACATTGAACACATTGTACACAAACCAATGCTTCCTGACAATGTCCATACATCTTGTGAGAATCAGGTTGTGTCCTCGACATGATTATGTGATGGTAGGTTGAAACTTGCAGTAAAACTTGATTTCATGATTTCATAAAAATCACTCATCCTAATCTGAGGGTACAACACTTTACGATCACTAACAGTAAACCTTGATGCAATCGATGTCTTTTCATTACGCAAGCGATTTTATAAATATATTCCGTACGCATTTGTTTTAAACAGTTTGGCGTATCTAACCTTTAAATGCGTAATTGGTATTTCGCAACAATTATTTTTCAATGCGTAATTGTAAATTTTCTATGCCAGATACGCAGCTTACTCTGATTAGCCTCGGTTTTATTTATTTTTTAAATTCAAGATGGCTGCCATAATGGTTTATGAATAAGTGCTATTATTTTTGTTAATGAGTGATGTTTGTGGATGATTTAAGCACATTGAACACATTGTACACAAACCAATGCTTCCTGACAGTTGTCCATACACGTCTTGTGAGAGGCAGGTTGTGTCCTCGACATGATTATGATGTGGTTGAAATGTTGCAGCAAGCTGTTCAAGACCATACTCAGCCTCGATTTTGAAACTAAGCAAAACACAGAGTCAAATGATGTTTCACAATACCATGCATCTCAAACGTTCATTTCCCTCATGAAAACATTTTATAGACCTCATCTGGTGTCCCGCTCCCTGATATTGCTGGGATATTTGCTAGAGCGGTTTAAAACCTTACTCTGTCACAACAGCAGCGCATTTTAACAATCGGATGCTGCATGTGATATATGTGCATATTGTTTTTACTTGAATCGTTGTCATTATGTATTATAACACAAATGTTTATTTAATGATACCTCTGTAGACATAAGTAACCTTTGCTTTGTCCTTTAGGGCAAGGACAGATTCGTCAATAGAAGATGGAAATTCTCACTGGCGGTACAATCCTGATCGACCACGACAGCCAAATGGTATTCCAGGCCAGAATGCAAGACATAGGGACAGAGACAATTTTGACCCCACGCAAGCCCTGGGGGAGCGGCTCACGTGTTACGGGAGTGAAGACGGGAGATCAGATGGAGGGGGGTCACCAAATGGGAGGGCACAGTTTAGACGGTCGCCTAGCTACACAACTGCAATGAGTGAGAATGAAAATTTAGAAATACAAGCCTTGTCCAACAGGGTGCGCTATCATGATGGGAAATATTACATGGGCGTGAATGATACAGAGAGCGTGTTCTGATGTTGATCCTTCTTGAAGGATGACGATGTAATTAAGAGGACGTGTGCAGTATCATCACCTTTTGGACACCAGAGATGACGTATTGTTCAAAGGTGTTGTACACTGAGATATGAAGACATGGATGTTTCGTGACTGTAACACCCCAACAGTTGGTTCTGCGTTGCCATGTTGATGTGTCACCGTTACCATGTGGACATGGGAGGCCATTGGCACTTTGTGAGCCATTGTTATCGTGTTGTTGTGATCCACCGTTAACATGTGGACGTGTGAGAATATTTCATGTGGACATCAATCGTCAGTACAGAACAAGACGTGCCGTTCCCATTTTATTGTGAGTGGTTGTTATCGTGCGGGAATGAGCCACAGTTACCTTGTTGATGAGAGCCACAATTACCATATTGATGCGAGTCACCGTTACAACGTTTACACGATTGGTCTTTTAAACGTGGACGTGAGCCATCGTTACCATGTTGATGTTAGCCATCGTTATTGTGTGGAAAAATTTCATGATTAGCAAATGGACATACAGCTACTTTGTCATGTGGATAGGAGCCATGGTTACCATGTGGACAGCAGTCATGGTTACCATGTAAACATCAGCCATGGTTACCATGTTGACAGGAACCATTGTTACAATGTATACGGGAACCATTGTTACTATTTTCGACACGACCCTCGTTACCATGTGAACAGGAGCCATTGATACAATATGTATAGGAGCATTCTTACAATGGGAACAGGAGCGGTCCTTATTTGATGATATGCCACGGTGTTAACTAACTGTCTTCAAAACACCCGCATCATTGCAAGTGTTGGTGCTTCCGGGTTTTACGGCAGTATCTGGGAACGTGTATGATATGTGTATGTGTGAAATTCCTGTGAAATCACTTTATGAGATGTTTGATCGTGTGAGAACCGAATGAGATACCTATATGGCATCACTGTATGAGATCCATATGCGATAACCATATAGTATCGATATGAGAGCTGCGAATGCGGTCACTGTATGGGATCTAATTAGATACAAATGATGTAGCCACTTTGCACTATGAGATCACTGAATGAGATCATATATGGTCACTATAAGAGATCTGAGTGAGAGCACTGTAGGAAATCACTAAAAGATCACTATGAGATCACCCTGGGAATGTGATATTTATTCATGACAATCAACAAAACTCGCTCTGGCATCAACATGAAATGCTTCCAAAAGGATGACAACAGAGTAGAGCATTGTGTCATCTTGATTGTCATCCTTGTGATCACGGCAATGAACATCTATGCAACTCTCTATGCCGTGTGTATTCTAGTCTGTTCAATGGTAGTCAACAACGATATTAGACCTCTTCCAGCCAAGAAAAGTATCTACAGGAGCGAATAACTCCTCAACAGAAGACGAAGAAGCTTCAAGAGGTGTGTGTTCAGACAAATGGAAGGATCGTGCAATTCCAAAATGTATCGAAAAAGTGTTTTCTATTTGCTTACTGATGTGTTGATCAGTGAGGTCTGTTCTGTCCTTATTATCAAACTATCAGTCTGTAAAACAACGTGTTTTATTTCAGATATGTATGCTTTTCTCAATACGGTACGCTTCACGGTCAAACTGATTGACACTACAATGACAAAGGTCAAATTGTCATAGTTCAGCGACACTACACACTGATACCATCATTCAATTGTAAAATTAGAAACGTTCATCTCACTAAAGAGTCATATTATTTGTTCAGCAGCATGACAAGTCTGCTATCATGCTGACATGTCCATTTTGCCAAAGCATTGCTTCTGTTTCTTCCTCTGACGTGTCCTGATATTCCCTACATGTATATAGCCCTTCTGCTTGGTTATACAATCTTGCCCTCCATGCTATCGACATGTCTATATTCTATGTTTGACCGACAAATCGCCACATCTTTTAGACTACCTATAATGACTGTAAATACATTTTAATATTGTTCCATAGAGATACTTTATTAATAAAGATTATCCAATATGAAGCTTTGTCTTTGAGTGAACTACCCTTATGGTAAAGCGATTTGATAAGAATTTGCGTTCATTGTGAGTGGCTGTTTAATGACAGACACAAATTATAGTGGGCTCGAATATTTAGATTCTCCCAAACTCCACAAGAGCTGAGATGCTGTGATTTAATTAAAATAATGGACAAAGTGACGGAAGATCAAACTAATTAACGGCCCTATTTGGGGATGCATTTTTTAAGTGCGTGTTATTATTACCCCTGCCATGCGTTTGCATCCAGTTGGTTGTAAAGCTCTCATGCGTTGTGTTTCTGTGTAAGACAGGGTAGAAAGTGCAGACATTCTCACGAGTACAAATAGCGGGTCCACCCATCCGAATCCGTCTACCGTCCCAGCATTTAGAAACTAAGCAGCTTCCACCGGACACCGGACTCTTACATGGTTTTAATGAACTTGTGATATTTCTTACCGCCTCTTCTCAAACATCGGTCCCAGCATTAAAAAGCATAAGCGATGGTTGAGTGATTTCATTGACTTCGTTTCTCATTCTATTGATCACTGGTACATGCATGTATAGTCACTGGTTGTAGACAAATATAGCCTTCGCCTGCCATATTTATACATGTGCACATGGACAAAACTGTATGTAGCAATAATATCATTGGAGTAGGGGTAAGGGAACCATCGATTTAATAAAAATGTATGTGATTTTTTTTAAATAGCGTTATCATCGGTCAAGAATGGGTTTCGAAAAGAATATCATTGATGAGCTTGTCACTATCATCTCAGGAACATCGGCAACATCCGGCACCTGCTGTCCACTGAAACTGGCCATATGCTTGTCAGGAGTTTAGTGCTATCCAAGCTGGACTACTGTAATAGTTTTTTTATGTAACATCACCAATGAACAGATGTCCAGGCTTCAGCGCATTCAGAATTCTGCCGCAAGGATAGTTACACGATCAAAGAAATCTGTGCACATCACGCCCATACTGATGAAACTGCACTGGCTACCTGTTGCTGCACGTGTTCAGTATAAAGTGCTTGCACTGGCTTATCAGTGTTATCACCAATCAGCACCTTCCTACCTGTCTGAACTCACACAAGTCTACCACCCATCTAGAGTCCTCCGATCTGCCCAACAACATCTCTTCTCTGTTCCAACCCCACGTCTGAGACGATTTGGTCAGAGATCATTTACTTACAATGCCACCACTCTCTGGAATAAACTCCCAGATTATCTTAAAGGAATCCCTACTCTGCAAATGTTCAAAGACAGTCTCAAAACATTTCTCTTCACTCAGTTCTATAGACTCTAATCATTTCTAGCCGCTATCTCTTAACCTCGTGATGTCAGAATCTCTTATGTAGCGCTATGAGCATACACTGTGTGTCTGGATTTGGCGCATTATAAATGTACTTATTATTATTCATTATTATTTATGTTAGGAATACGATTCTAGCAACAATCACACACAAAAGAATAGTTTTCACTTTCATGAGAAATTCAGTCAAAGGGGGATAACTCTAAGAAAATATTTACATTATTGTTTGAAGTGTAAATGTGAGTCAGATCCGCACTACTTTAAGGCTCATGCCCACTTGGGGATTCTTGTGCAAATGTTGAGCGCACCTTTTGTTCTTGGGGATTATATCGCTTCGGGGATCTGGAACCTTAGAACAATAGCTGCTGGGAAAGCGGGAAGACCCCCTTCTTTAAACCTACCGCGTGATTGTAGCAACTCACGTCGTATAACAATGATCGACTTAACCGAACTCAATTGCATAGATCGATGCTCATTATCTTAATCACTGAATTGTCTGGTCGATTATTTACTGACCGCTGCCATATAGCTGGAATATTGTTGAGTTCGAATTCAAACCGCAAACAAACAAACAAACAAAATTAAACAGATTAGCTTTTACGACATATCCCTACTTCACAAATTTGCAAAACGAAACTTGAATGTAGGTTTTCATTCACTTTGTGTGCATACGTTCTGGTCGTTATGAGTAAGTGAGTGACACTTAACAGTGCTTGAAACACATTTCAATTTCATCACCGCATTTCACATTGATAAGAGTTGAAATAAATTATTCCAAATCGATACAGATCTATGGTTTAAATCCACGAGGGCTGGTAAGTTGCTGGGCGAATCTTTGAACCCGAGATCATAGCATCCTAGGAACTAAGGGATGCATCTCTAAGCCAAGTTGTTCAACTTGCCACATCAAGACCCCAATAAGTGTTTACCGAAGACATTTTCATAGAATCCTTCTTTGAGGACACTTCGGACAAGTGACCATTTCGATATCGTCCCGTCATGCTTTCTTTCTCTGTCCGGGGCGGTGGGTAGCCTTGTGATTAAAATGTTCCCTCGTCACGCCGTAGGCTCGGGTTCCATTCCCCACATGGGTACCATGTGTGAAGCCCATTTCTGGTGTCCGCCATCGTGATATTACTGGAATATTTCTAAAGCGGCGTAAAACTCAACACGCACTCTTTCACTGTTCACATAGATACGAGTGAGTGAGTAAGTTTAGTTTTAAACCGCACTCAGCAGTATTCCAGCTACATGGCGGCGGTCTGTAAATAATCGAGTTTGGACCAGACAATCCAGTGATCAACAGCACAAGCATCAATCTTCGCAATTGGGAACCGATGACATCTGTCAACCAAGCCAGCGAGCCTGACCACCCGATCCCGTTAGTCGCCTCTTACGACAAGCATGGGCTGCTGAATATCAATTCTAACCCGGACCTTCACAGGTACACATAGTAGGCTGCAAGAGTTGTATGCTCCCCAGGGAGTTGAGATTGACAATACTATGTGCCGTTGAGATTGACATCCAGTCACGTCAGTCAAACAAAGCGTTGAGCATGAGATGAGCTGGAAGACAAGCTGCCATATTAACAATAATAATAAAAAGTCGCCATGTTAACAATAACTTTATTCATATAAACAGCGTATTTTGCTTCGGGCGTATGTACAATGCTATGTCTAGTAGGTATGTAAAACAACCATCCAGTCAAAAGTGCGGGAACAGAGAATTTGCACATTCATAAACTTTGAATTTGCACAAGACCTTATATAACATGCCTTTATTGGAAGTATGGTCAATAATAATAAAAAGTCTACATATTAGAAGATAACTACAGACATAAGACAACGGAACAGCGGAATATCAACTAGATGAGAAAGGAAGCAGGTATAACAGCAAAAAGAGACAGAAAAATTAACTCATCCCAATGCAGTGTGTCACACTGATGAGTTTCAATCTGTCTGAAGAAATGTTCTCATACCATTATCTGTTCTGAAACAGCACCATTGGACAAAACAAACAATTAGGTTTCACTTGAAGTTCTACTCTACCTGAAATATTTCCCTTTTGGAACACCTATATTTAAGTTATACAGCACAATATAGCATGTCATGTTATCTACATTTGACGTTCAAATACTGTACAATGATAACAGAAATGAGCATGTGTATTGCAATGAAATTCTTGGCTGGGCTATTGTTTGGATATTAGGTTTTGACACAAACGGTTTCCAATATATTGCTCCCAAGGATTCAAATCAACAATGATGTATAACCACATCACAAAGTATTGATGTAATATGACTCTACATACAGTACATTTGTACAGATTGAGAACACAACTGAAACTTCGTGTTTTTCAAGAAAAAGACACTCAATAATCAAACGGAATTTTCATTTCTTTCAATTGATTTTAACATATCCATAATTTATTGAACCTGCACAAGAACCTGTTAAGGTTCAATTCAACAAACCTAACAAGTTTAATTTCGAAATGAATCCTAAACCGAACATGCGTTTCTACAAACCTTGTAAACCTAAAAACATCTTAGTCGTGACAACCAGAGTTACACGATTCATTATTATTCGTTTTAAACCTGCACACACGTATCTAATTTACTATTTACTATTTCTATCACATAATTTCAATTGTTTTAGTCTAAATGTGATGCATGGTTGAAGAACACGGATATTTTATAACAGGTGAAATTATATGATGATCGTATGGTTTATAATATTTCTATCACATAATTTCAATTCTTTCAGCCTACATGCGACGGAGTCGTGGTTAAAGTACATCGGTATCTTATAACAGGTTCAAGTATATGATGATAATATGGTTTACACCATTTCGGCCACATAATTTGACAGACAGCCATTTATTCAGTAATTTCTAGCTAAATATTTGAAACATCCTCTATCACAACACAGTTTTGTTTATATATTGTCTCCAACAAATATATATTTTATAAATAATTTATGCCTATTTTTATATAATGTTAGGAAAATAAAATCTGATGTTTTCCCGTAAAATTCTTCCAAACTCATATATATTTATGAATGTATTATGGGCCAGTGTCATTTTACTGAATAAATGTCTGTCTGTCTGGTTATTACATAATTTAAATTGTGTCAGTTAAACTGCAATGCATTGTTGAAGTACATCGGTATATGATAACAGGTGCAAGTATATGATGATGATATGGTTTATGATTATATCATGATCACATGGTTTATGATTACATCAAAGCCCATACACATTACGCGAGAAACCAAGTCAGCAGCCATACAAGGACTTTAGTATTGAGCTATTCAGCAACTGACCAACTCATGTTGTAAAGTATTTACACATAGGTTGCCATACTGAAACCCAAACTCTAATACCTACACATATAAAAATGAGAGATCGTGCCTTGACCACATAATATATAAGAAACGTTGTGTCAATAATGCTGTAAGTCGTATGTGCAATCGTCTTTAAGATTTATGAATTACATAAATTGAATCTAAAACACAAATAAGTCGTACAAGTGAAAAGAGGAAGATAATGTAATACATGTTTAAAGACATATTAACGAAACATTACGAAATACACTTCATTCAACGAAACCAAACTGACCCACCATCTAAATACGTATAAATTAACGACAGCGTTTTGCCTTGATTATCTGAAGCTTATTTGAAACTGAGATACTTGAAAATATAATGATTTTACTTACATATATGTGTATGATCATTCACGCATATTGATCATGTAATGATTATTAACACGCTTCGTTCATGATCATTTGTTATGCCCATGAGAAAATATTTTCTTTAATAATATTATGATACTTGACAACATGAACATGTTCATATCTAAACATGTAAGAGGTTATTTTAAAATTATTTAATTTACAACCATATCGCTATAATACTGATGTTATATTAATGATTGTAACAAGTAGACTTTGTTCTTCATGTGTTTAAATGAAGTTCAACATGGAGTTTAAATCTGAAATCGTTTGCTAACTGTGTCGGACCCATATATACATCCAGAGCCGACACAGATGTGTCACCTGGCAGATGATATTTATACTAAATTTCAAACAAATATATATAGTTTAAAACGTATGTAAGAATTTTAAAGTGAAGAAGAATCCTTTAACAAAATGTCATCAGAGAGATACGATGTACCAGTTGCAGAAAGTAGACAATCGATCAAAATAAACATATATATGTTTGCATGTTATGTATGTGTGTGTGTGTGCGTGTGTGCGTGCGTGTGTGTATATGTATAAATATGTGAAGAAGGAGTTTCGACTTACAGCTAAACAACGTATTTTTCTGGGCTATGAATATGCCTATTATGTTGGTTTGTACACACAAATGTTTGTTGGTGGCATATACCAAAAATGGCGTTGTCTTACCAAAAAATATTTCATATAGAGACCACGCCGCGTTTAGCAATATTCCAGCAATATCACGGTGGAGAACACAGAAATGGGGCTTAACGCATAATACCCATGTGGGAAATCGAACCCTTCGACGTGACGAGCCAACGCTTAACCACAAGGCTACCCAACTACAGACCGATAAAGGAGGAGACTGACGGCCTATTTGAGATAGTATGTTTCATATTAAATGTGCCATTTGAAAAATAAGTGTACTAATTTGTTTTGGTTATTTTATAGTGAGAGTCCTATTTCGATTTGAAAATAACCCGTGACTGCAGTTTGGTTTTTATGTTTCCGTATCAATGATGAAATTAACGCCTTATTGCTATTTTTTCAATTAAACGTTTACTTATACGATGAGTAAAACACCAAGTGAGAAGTCATTAAGAAAATGGTGTATGTGATGAATGAAATTACATGTTATTGCTATTCCCGTAGGTAAACAAGTTTTTCTTAATCCTCTATCAGAATTAAAATAGTGAAGATTTCACTCAATTGAAAGCGTAATATCGTATTGCAATGAAATTCTTTACATAGTTATAACTTGCAAAGTGCAACACAGCTTTGACACTTTATCAACGGATATACAGATGCAAGGTTCACACACCATCACAGCGTCAGCACCTAAAGTAGGATTATCTCCCTTTGAACGTTATATCGTTCATACGACCACCACAACATAGAGTAAAATCTTTATAGGTGGATAAACACACTCTTTGATGTAAACTACTCAAGAGATGTTAAGGAACCACCAATAATTATTGTTTCTGTTGACGAGAGTCAATCTGTCATGACCTTTGGTATTGTCTGCCTTCACATTGTTCCTTAACGTGTTTTGAGTAGCATAGTTATCATATACACATACTTATTATAGAAGATTAAATCTTTTGCAGACAGTTTGCAAGATGAACATCACACGTAAACAACAAATAAAGTTGTTACGGCTATATATACTTTCCATGCATGGTAATCTGTGGATTGTCTTCTATAAGCATTGACAAATCCAAACTTTGCATGATAGATGCCTTTGTGTTTGTCCGATTGTCATAATGCAAAATAGACTTATCTCATATGAAGATCACAATAATGTTATAAAGGGTATATATATACTGTGATAAAATTATATAGATAAAATGCAGACCAATACACACTATACACGTGGAGCTTGAACATCAATGAAGCATTTCCAAAGGAAGGTTGTTCTTCAAGAATGTCACGCATTCAGTAAACAGAAAATCAAGATGCAGTAGGCTTTCAAAAAGAGCGGAAGATGAGCCCACATAAGGCAGCATATGACAATGGTATGTAAAGTGGTAAGTAAAACAGTGTACATCTTGTCGGACACAGCGACAAACTAATACAATATATGTCCATTCCAGAACATGCGTGAGCATCAAAAACACAGTCGACATTCAGGCAAAGCAAAACATGGTCATCACTCTTCTTGACACTACAATCCAGCCATTTCCCTCAGTATATGCTCTGCATGAAACATACAGAAATATGGCAATGCTAACTACTCTCTGAAGACCATCCTTCTGGAGTATTGCTTTAAGCATCACTTAAGCCAGTTTCGAATCCGCTTTTTATACTGTTGTAGACACAAGAAGACAACTATATGTATCTATATAAGAATGCACAAGAGCCTCTCACCTATGTATTATTTTGGTCATAGAAGGAATCATATGATGTGACGATGAGCAACATGAATTATAACAATACGTATCTGCTATACAATGCATCATATATCCCTATATCTATTCCTAAACTGGTTATTTGCTATGGTCGCTACTGTTCTACGTTATTGGTAAGTAGTACGGTGTGTTCGAGGGATTGGTACTATTGTAAATCACTACCACTCGGAATATCATGCTGGGTACTGTTGCATAGATCAAACGATGTGTTATTTTGGCAATCCAACACAATTTGGAGTCCTGTCACAATCAGGACCAGCCGTAAGCAGTTTTAGCAGTATTAGATCACCTACAAGCATAGTACTGGAGCCATACTGCATCATTCACGAGTCCATGTTTTCTCAGCTTTACATGTGAATATTTGTATGGTTATTTTGTAACTGCACATGATGCAACATTCAGCAGGTAGTGACTTCAGGAACAACGTTTAAAACGCGCTCTCCATCTCAACGTTATCTTCAACACCGAAGTAATATTTGCCATCGAGACGCCTAGACTTCCTGGGCGTGTCCCTATCTCCACTATCACCATCAGTGCCCGATGATGGTGAGGCTAAAGTGTTGGCCTCTGCCATCACTTCAATGGGTGGATCCTCTTCTGACGGATGTGTCAATAGTAATGGCTCGAGTTTGGCCAGTTCCCCACCTATTGGCTCTATCCGATCCTTGGCACGGCGCCTGGAAATGCCGTTGTGCTGACGCGTGGCCTCTGGGTCGTATCGCCATATCCCGGCCCCATCTTCACCCCTTCCACCAGTCTCCAAGCTGCAATGACAAGATAAGTGCTAACTTGAAACCGAACATTATAAACGCAAGTGTTTGATTAAAGCGCTGTACGTGATTGATTTATTTAAGCTACACAATTAAGCAAATGGTTCCAGAGCAGAACTGTGCCTCCCTCCTAGAGTGAACTGTTGATGACAAGGCCCTGATTGTCTTGACCCTCCCCACACAGGTTGTTGATGCACCAGAGCAATCATACCATGATCAAGACTATCAGAATTCCTAAGGGAAATTCAATAGTGTCTCATTCTTTCGGAAACACCCCGACATGATATATCAGTTATCGTTTAATTGAGATGTTAACTTAAGCGACTAGTTTTGGAGCATTTGGAGCGGGGTGGTTTGAATTTCAAGATACCGACGACACACAAAATACAAAGACTCTGTTGATAACATGAAAACAGTAAAACGATAAACAACGATAGATGTCTCCCTGTGGGAAGAGCTCCATCTATTGTCTACAACGAGCGACTTGAATTAAAGCATTTAGCCCAGTGGATAAACTTGTTTAAAGGCCATCGTTTTCATGCAATGATCAATACCAGTGTGATGTAGCGGCACCTCTAAGGCTTTGTTCTCTGATGTAGCAATAATGAAACGTATTTATCAAATAAAGGAACGTGAGCTGGAAAACAGGTTCATTTACAACGCACATGCTCAGGTCATTTCACAAAGTTCATGAAAGCTTTCATTTAACAGAATCCTGAACCTGGAAATGATGCATTTTTTTCAAATTTTACTAATGTTTCATACAGACATAACCTGTATCAAAGAATTTACAAAATGAAAATATTCTTTGAAACGAAAACTTTTTTCTTTTTGGAAAGCGGTTGAAAAAGTGATTGCTGCACATGGAACGTTTTGAATCCATGGAAATAACATGCTCTGTTCACACTTCTGGAATCTGTTCAAGATGCGTTCACGAGTGAGCGAGTGAGTGAGTGAGTGAGTGAGTCGCCTATTTGAACAGCATTTTACCTCCTTAATGTTCAGTTTGATGTGTCAGGATTGACAAAACTGATGTAGGTCTTAGACTTTTGTTTTTAGGTCATAACCCGCAAGCATGGTAAGTTTTAGACAAACTCGGTATTAGAACTCAAGTTTATTGGTCTCTGGCACAACTAAGGAGCATAACTGTATAATACAAAATGCCGTCCCTTAGACAACTCAGACGTCTGTTCTCGGATCATTATGGAACAATGCACTTACGATAGCTGTTTCTGTAGTATGTCAACTTTGAGCAGCGCCAGATCCAGCTCATGCCGAACCTTCCACAACTGCGTCTCACAAATAGGGTCCTTGCATTTGTGTCTCTTGTGATAGTCTATAGCTTCCATCACGGACTGTTCAAACGTTAACGACTTGCCCATGCTCTGCAATGATGAAAGGTAAATCTCAATGGAATTGTTGTCAAATACCGTTGTTGCAAGTACATCAAATCCCTTAATGACAAGCTCAGATACGTGAAAGAAAATGCGCTTGAGAAAATAATAGTTCCATTTTCTTCAACGCTAAGTATTATGTTCAGGTACAAGTGCTAACAGATTTGAATGTCAGTGGAGTAGCTGAAACTAAAAGCAGATACTCATTACACAGACATGATGAACACTGAAAGGTATAAGCACGGACTCGGTAAATCCGAGCCCTAATGCTTCGGTTGTGTGAACCCGAGAATTAAGAAAGCAATAGTGTGAACCCATGCATCATCCGCCCGTACCGGAAAACCCCAAACATCAGATTTTATGATCAATTTTAAAAACCAATGTTAAAGATTGAATTTTATAATACAAACGCCATTCAGTCAAATAATCACAATCGGATCTTAAAGAGCTGGGTCCCGAGCCACAAAGCGTTCGTAACGTTACGACCAGTCGTAACTCTATGGTTTATCACAGGCTTACGAATGTCGTAGCGCTACGAACCCTTTGTGGATCGGGACCCTGAATTGTAGTAACCCGGTCTATACATACGACTATCAGTGATACAGAGTGTTAGTGCTTGTAAATCAATACTGTGGTGTTTGCGAACACTTTTGCCTGTCACAAGACAAACACCCCAACCAAACCAATGGAAGCGACAGATTAGTCAACAACGATCCTCGTGGGACGTATATTACACATACATATTGGAAAGAATAACCCCTTGCACTGCACAGGCCTCAAAGGGACTCCACTTTCCCCTCAAACCTGTTCTACGTACTTCTGTATGCATATCCCACTGGTAATTGTATTCATATCATGGGCGATTACAGTGAATCCTTGACCGTCATATGATCCCCAATGACATTGAATAAGCATATCCGCACAGAGAGCCCGATCTTTATCTTCTCTTGTGTGGGCATGTGCATATTAATGCCAAACCGAAACAATTATGATAACATAGAGTTTCTGGTCCCAGTACATGAACCACGTAGTACTGACTTCATAAAACACATTTTCATTTTTCTTAATTGTTGGCATACGTTCTTAAAATGGCCTGAGAGATTTCATTTCGATAACGAGAAGTTTAATTTCTGTTAATACAGCGTAAAATCCCATACCGATTTAGGTTAATACGTTTTCGACGTCGACACAATCTCGATTTATGATCGCATAAACCGAATTATCAGAAATCCTGACTTTTGTAGCAATGCAATGAGAAACTTTAAAACCTGATTTGACCTCACTCAAGTCACTTGGACGACTTCATTATTATCAGTTAGATGGTTCTTAAATTTACCGAGTTGGTTGCCTGGAAACAGGTTCACACTTAAAATAGCAAACAGCGACGTGTCAAACCAACTTTCCGCTCTGGATGGTACGAGGCTTCTGACAGACTCGAGGGAATGGCGTAACAGAGTTACGTGGAGGTTCCTGGCAATGGACGAAGATTCCAACAGATCAATTCACTTACGGTCTTCTTCGTGAAGGTCTGACTGAATTCTCCACCTGGTTATCGTTATCGACATATCGTTAAGTGAATTAAGTTGATTAAACAATTGATCATGCCCAATTTATTCTGAAATGTAAATCGAATGTTTAAAAGACCGAGGCAATGCGAGGCAGGAAAGGTGCACTTGACATTTTGAATTATGCACGATGTAGGCTGAGATGAATAGCTCTCTTGATACAGCCACTAGATGCATCTTAAGCTTGAATTTAATCCATCAATGTTGGTTCCGAGAAATTATTACCAGACGGTCACTTAGTATTCTTATATGTGATGCAAGTAAGAGTATTATTGTGTTCCTGGCATAGCTGGGACTTCAGTTGCAAACACATCATTTTACATCTAGATGAGGCCAGACTGGTCACTCACCAGGCAAGGACAAGATGGACTAAGGTCAGGTTATTTTCACATAAATATACCATTAACCCGTGTGAGGGATGAACGCATTTATTCTGATGTCAATGTGATCCCAAACCACACATTTGGAACTACGTTTCCTAATGTTTATACAAGATGAATGTCCCACGACGGAGTCTCATGTAAGTTTGTTGAACATATATATGTACATATTTCCTTTCCTTACCATATAAGCTAAAATTGTTTTTCGTCGCTGAAGCAATGTTGATGTGTTGGCTTAGAAGTACAGAGTATAAATATCTTTCTTAGCAACACTTCATCACAGTGTTTGGTGGTGGTGTACTTACATGCAGTGTTTAAGTTAATTGGAACAGGAATTGGACATAATACCTATAGTGCTTTTATATTTTAAATAAATAAAATGAATGATTTTTAAGAGTTACAATTTTGTCATTGGAACGTCGAAGAGCATGTGGAGGGCATTTGGCCAAAGGCTAAGAAATTTACGTTGCGGAGTTTGGTCCTTTAGGTGTTTAAAATATTTACGATCGTGGGTTCTCATTGTACACCCTGGTTTTCACTTTGGGTTGGCAGCAACATATTCGTGTTCGCGGGTTTGACCGCTATGATCAGCTTGGTCAGTTGTGCAATAATGGGCGGTTATTAGGGCGCTAAATCTAGATAAGCTAAAGGAATACCCAAAATACTTTTATTGAAACGCACGAGCACGGTTATGGTGATGAAAAAAAACTAGAATGTAATTGACTACAGAAACATCAAAACCTTAAATATCGCCATGGCTATGACACTGTACATTTCTCATTCGTTATCAAAAGTGTCCTGCATCAGAAAACTAGTTCCATGGGTATACAATTAATAGCAGATAAGTTGCTTGCAGAACCTTATCAAGCCATGATACCAAATCACATAAAACTGCAATTACACGATGTCAATTCCCTAAATTAACTCTTCTATTAGGTTCTATTTGATGGGCGGCTTCATGCAAACTGACTTCACGCTGTGTTGAAGAAAGACCCTATTTTTACTGTAGATAGACCCTGCGTGATGGTTATTAAGTAACCTTTGTTAGAAATGAAAAGTCACAAGGTCGTTAATACCAGCACAGGTCATCAATAATTAGATATATCCTGTAATACATATATGAAGGGAAATCAGATTCAAAATGTAATTTTCAGTTTCAATGCGATTATTAGATAAAAGAAACTTGCTCGACAGATATGATTTTGCACGGTATAAACCTGGCATTGATATTCCTTTACGGTGATCAGCTTAAAATATCACGTCTCTCTGTCCTTTTTATAATCATCCTGAGATATTTTAGAGCAAAAATATCAGTAAAATGACATTTTTTACGCAGTGATACAATCAGTGCACTGCATTTATTCGTTAAATGAATATGAAGGATGCTGTATGTAAACAGCAATGCCAATGATGGAGAAATACAATCAGCACCGACAACGTTCGTGTCAGCCATGCATTCGGGAGAAATCATAAATTGGATATTATTTTGAACACTTACAACTATTCACGAGATTACTCGCACAGGCGAAATGTTGTAAACGACTGCATGTTTTTTACATGGCAAAACAATCTTAATTTGAAATTGCGCACCAGGAAAATATCCAAGTTTTTATTAGCTTGTTTTTTTTTCATAACCCAAATTACGCATCGTATGGTTTGCTTTGAAGATTGAAAGGGAAACTATCACATGCAAGTGATGGCTAAAACTGTTTGGAACGTTAAAAAGTAAACTTTTATTAGCTTGCAAGAACACGCTGCTCTTTAACACGTTTGATGAAAGCCAATACAAACAGCCAAAAATATAAGAAAGACTCTCCGAACTTATATAAATGTGGGCTACGTTATGAATACACAATGCCGTGTCGGAAGTGGTCGGGTTAACATAGATTACCTATGTGGGATTACACTTTCTCAGGATAGTACAAACTGTAGTCCTTCCTTGTATTGTGTCCCATTCGGGATTCGTACCCACACACTCGGAATGGGTCATTTCATTGCCAAAACATAAAGTTCATCACACAACACTGGGGGGCATTCGAGATATAGCATATGTTATATTGTCTCTATAAAAATCGAAAAATGCATCAATGTTTGCACTTTAGAGTCCTTCTATATCATTGTGTTCTTAGGGATAAGTAAGGTTTCATGAATCCATGACATATGTCATATTCTGGATATAGTATCAACAATTATGTAGGTAAGTAGAGCATTGCAAAACAGATAAAAGCTACATGAAAACGGGTACTGAAAACACAACTAATCGTGACAAAACGTGAAGCGTAGAGATAATGGGTTGAGCGAATACTGTTTTAAAGACGTGTTTACCGCTAGTGCCCCAACTCAACGGCTGGAGATATCAGACATGACCTTGAAAAAAACTACTTGTGTTGGTTATCAAATCCGTCCTTCACCATCACTTGCAAACGCCTTAATGGCTACCATGATGCCAGTGACAGCAAAGATGCGACGGGGCAGTGCGGCAACCTGGTGGTGAAGGCGTTCGCTCGTCACGTTGAATACCCAAATCCCAACATGTAGACAATGTGTGAAGCACATTTCTTTTGTACCCCAGGTGACATTGTTGGAATATGGCTAAATCGTCACAAAAGCTTATTCACTTACTCATTGATATGAAAATGATACTAGTAATATGTTTATATGTGCTTGGGTACAACGTATGTGTAGATTTGTTGTTTTCACACAAGAACGAAAACAGCTCAAAGTGAATAATCTGCAGTAATTACCACAAAAGCGTGTTTACGAACCCTACGAGTGAATGAATTTAGTTTTAGGCCGCGTTTACCAATATTCAAGCAATCTCACGGCGGGAAACAGGCCTGGAAATGAAGCCCATTGTTACACATCAAAGTTGAATTCTTAGGGGAATCAGAACCAGGGCCCTTATTCTCAAAACTTTCGTAGCCCTAAGAATTCTTATCTTTGATCGTAGCCAATGTGTTAGGAATGGGCTTAAGAAGTTCGTAATAGCTAGCCCGGGCCTTATGTGTGACGAGCCCACGTCAATCCCCCACGAAATCTATGAACAAATCGTTACAAAGTATACACGTTTTTAGCCGTACACCATATCAAGGACATGACACAGATACACCTCGTTTGAATAATAACAGGGCACCCCTTTCTGAAGCGGATCAAGACGTTAGGTTGACTTGGCAGGAGTATTATTAAGTTGTTACCGATTGATGACAGTGTCCAAAAAGTACAACGTTGTCTTTTGTAAGCGCTGTGAAGGGTTCTAAGATAGAGATAATGGTTAATGACAATGACAAGTCATGAAGAAATATGAACAAGATGCACTGGACCAATCCTAGAACAAAGTCGATTAGGGTTTCTTTCAATTTAGGACATTAAGAGTGGCGGGAAGGAGAATTGTTAAAGATTAAGTCCACACACGGCTTCTCGTATAATGTGTGATCACATTTCGCCTCACTTTCCCTTCAACTATAATTTATAAAAATTCTATTAAATTAAAAGATAGGAGGGTTTCGAAATGCTTCAGGAGTTACGTGATCTGTGAAAATTGAGCGAATTTCAATTACTGTTTACTGGAAGCCCGAAAGAGTTATTTATGATACATAATTGAAAAAAATGAAGAGTAGGCGACCGCTGGAGAACTACATACATCTGGATTTCTTAATCATAGTATTTTGCAAATGAAATGTCGTCTTATGGGTTTGGTGTTGTCAGTCACTGGAGAAAAAAACGCATCTAAATTAATGGACGTGTCATTCAACAGAAGTTGCAAATCATGGCGTGAAATAAAAATCTAGTTGAAACGAAAATATCACATGCATGTTAGGGGGTAGTTAATTAAAAACAAGACATAACCTAAACGAAATCTAATTCTCAGCCTTAACTCAATTGCGAATTCACGAGAAGTCACCATAATGAATTTGAACATGATTTAAAAAACGAAGTCATTTGGAAACGATAAATCGCCGTGAGCACATACCAAACTGACGAGTGAGCAGCAACCACATTTGTCCCACTTCCGTAGGCTCTTCCGGCCAAACCGGAAGTACAGGTGTTCCGCAAGAAGCAAGATGGCGCCCAGTACCATGCCGCCGCCGAGCAGAATGAAGGCGCTGGTGAAGTTCAAAATACCGAGGGTGTGGCTTGATACACCTTTCTGTTTTTTCTTCTTGCATGCACCAGCGAGCCAGAACTTGTGCAGTTTTTCAACTTCACCTGAAAGACATTTACATTCGATATAAAACCGACTATAGAAACGTGTCGTTACGTCAGCAATGCTACCATTAACGTTAATCGATCTTAAGTCTGGATATCAATCGATATTGACTAAAATCGATGATATCATTATGACCACACCATGGTCACATCTTTATGAAAGCCAGTCGAGTTATGATGATGCCAAATTCACATGCCACACCAGTGACATTAAATGGCAGCTTAAGTGTTCTGAATAGAGACGTGAAACCCAAGTCAGACTCTTCCAAATGAACTCACCGTTCTTACTACAGTGAAAAAGTCACGGTTTTCAAAGCTATTGTCTTAACAGTGACCCACGGGACCTATTTCTTAACAAATCGTCTGTTTTCGTGAGCTCCATCTCAAGGGACGGACCTTATCAGCCTCAGAAGAAGCAAGACGACGAGCTAGGTTCTGGTAGTCTTCTCCCTGGCTATGGAAAGTCACGCCAAACATCAGACTATCACGTCAAATTTGGAACACTCATCGCAAGAGAATCGTTTGAAAACCTTGTAACTCGTCTCAAACCCTGGAACTAAAATCCATAGCACTAACAAATCCTTTGGGATGTCTGTACACGACACTTCATAAAGCTAAAGGGTTCGTTAAAGTGGAAAAAGACACTAATTATTCCTTGTGGACTGCTTGACTTTTTAAAATATGTCACTAAGGAATTGTGTAGAAAGAAAGATATGGCAATGTGAAAGCACTGAAAAACATGGTCATTTTGAACAGCAACTTTTGGTCTGTTGTTCAATGGTACAGATAGAATGAGGCATTAATATGCGGATGCACTCGATAACACTATTTGCACAAAGATTCGGTCAGGTCTGTATTGGATGCGTTTAAGGGCATAGGGACGTTATCCGAAGTCTCTCAATGAAAGTCTGGAGGCTGCAGACAAATGACTTCGCTACTGCTGAAGGATTGTTTGTGGACCTATATTTACGACGGATCTCCCCTCGCTGACCGCATTAAATTAACATCAACCATAATCAATCCAGTTTAAGCTGCAGGACATCGTGGGGATAATGTGTTCTGGCAACGGATAATGTCATAACCCGATTCCTCAGCATCAACCTATTGCAATATATGTCAAGAACTGGTTCTATTAGAGATGAGAATGTTAACCAGTTTGGACTGAACCGCATGGTATAACTGACTAAATGGTCATCACACGACTTCTCTCCATCCGGCCAAGTGCTCAATAACTATTTATGAATCTATTTTTAAGCCTTGCCTTCCAATTATTTCCTCCATCAAACAAGCAAGCCTTTGTTTAACGTGACCGATATAATTATCTATTCTGAAGGTCAGATTGTTTCAACATCCTTTCTAATGTAGTAGAGTTCATTTTCATGACATGTAAAGCCTAATGGTAAATATGACATATATGATCAAAGATACATTTCAATGATTTTGGACGACATGTCTTTTGAATTCTAAATTTAAGTTGATGTTTAGGAACGTTTGTACGATCATAAAATATTCTCATTTATTTTCTGCAATTTCTCTAATAGTTTGAATTTCGTGATAATAGTGCGGTATTAATAGTGTGGTATTAATAGTGCGATATTCTGAAGTATAAACCGTTAAAACATCCAGAAGGCTACTTTATAAAGAAAGTGAACCAATTCCAGTTATATACAAAATAGCTTCACACCATGTTCCGAAGTGTCTAAACTTGTCATTCGGCGTCACAGACGGACACGTCAGCCCGAACGATGACCCCATTCTGATATATTGTTTTAGTAGTGATGGTTTGATATCAAGTGAATACGAAAAGACATGTTCAAGGTCACGACGACCTTCATCCGAGGACCAGAGGCAAGCAATTCTGTGAAAACAACTTAATCGCTTGATACCAAGAGAATGCGAAAAAGGCATTTATCCAGTTCACGACGACCTTGTTAAGATGGCTAGAAGCAAACAATTATTTTGAAACAACTTACCAGTATCTTGCATTTTCAGGAGAACTGTATTGATGTGATCCAACCAGGGTGACCCCTTGGGGAGACCGATGGCGTACCCGGTTGTAGCGTACCAGTCCCCGACAACTATCAGTTTACAGACGTCGTCCCTCCCGACGTAGTACTCCAGCACCGTAGCGTCGTATATAAATGCCTGGATTTCCCTGGAAAGAGGACGCCATTATGTTCAGAGAATCTAACAGAACACCAATGCCAAAGAACTACTCTGTCCCACAGTCCCTGAACTGAGGTAATTTCTGTAATGTCATGCGTTTTCTGCAAATTCTGAATGAATCAAGTCTAGATTTTTCTCGGGTTCAATTTGCCACCTCACTAGGGCTCCTGTTCAATTTAAATACAATTTGTTTGTTTCGTCTACCAGAGAATAGTCGGCCTATATCAGTTGCGGTTATGCAACGTTGGGCGCGGGGAGTCCTCGGATGGGTGATGGCTTGACTCCTGAGAGTTTCTAGGACATTAGTCCTGCCCCACAACGAAGCACATGTGATACATGTGGTCTCACCTTAGGCAAGTGAGTTTGTTCAAAATTGCTTCTGTTCATCCAGCAGAAAATGGGTACCCGGTTGGATAAAGTCATGTGACTATAACCTTCTAGCGCCAAACAGGCAGCTTGGGTTATCCGGGGTAAAATTCATCAGATTCTGATTACGCGCCGCGAGCAATCACTTGGTGTTTGGAGACTGTGCGCTATAGAAGACTTATTATTATGTTGATCTCAGGCAAAAGTCTATGAATCAAAATATTAACTAGTGATTGCATACAGCGTATTTAAAATAAAGGCATAACATGTTCATGGTAAGAATAAGTGAGTTTGCTTTCATTCCACTTTGAACAATATTACAGACCTTATATATATTGTGGCAGGTCTGCCTTATGTGTGAGGAAATCCGTGAGTGAGTTTGGTTTTACGCCGCTTTTAGCAATATTCCAGCAATATCACGGCTGTGGACACCAGAAATGGGCTTAATACATTATACCCACGTGGGGAATCGAACCCGGGTCTTCGGCGCGACGAGCGAACGCTTTAACCACTATGCTACCCCACAGCTCTAGACATTAAGAATTGAAGAAACAGGGATAACTGATTTGAAAATACTATACAAAATGAGGTTTGAAAAAATAATTTCTCTTAAACATGCAATTTTATGTAATTTAGATTTCATTCAACGATAATCAAGCATATTTACTTGACAACCAAAGGGTATTGTATTGATCAAGGATCAATCTTGACAAAACACTAGAGTATGACGTGAATGTTTGAATTCAAAATGCGAAAGTAAATTTTAATCAACCTGTGTAAACTTGAACACTCTTGTGATTAACTCAAGGTCAGTGACAGGGACTACCAAAACGATTGCGGTCATATTGCCCTATAGACAGTTTTATTGATATCTTCATTATAACTTTTACACACACATACACACGTATATTGCTTTAGACAGACGCGGGTGGGCCATTTGCAACTGCATACACTAGAAGAGTTGCGTCCCCTGAATGCCAGGATGTGATCACTATGGGTTCGAATCCCAGTTTCACCCTACTAAGTGCCATATTTTGTCACGTTACAGGTGTTTGGGAATTTCAATACACGTGCACGACACTAGTGCAGCCCACCGTAAAATAAGTTGAATGCTTGTTCAAGGCATATTCAACCAAAAGCTTACTTAAAATGTTTGGTTTAATGTAACTGTCAACTCTTGTAGTAGGAAGCAAATAACGGAATCAGAGGTCAGGCTATGTTACTGCTTGATGTAGTCATCGTACCCCAATTAAATATGCTCATGGGGTTAATCACTGTATTGTCTGCACCAGACCAACATTACATGACATTGCTGAGTGCAACACTGACTGACTGACTGAGTTTGGTTTTACGCCGCTTTTAGCAATATTCCAGCAACATCACGGCTGGGAACACCAGAAATGGGCTTCACACATTGTACCCATGTGGGGATTCGAACCCGGGTATTCGGCTTGACGAGCCAACGCTTTAACCACTAGGCTACCCCACCGCCCCGCTGAGTGCAACAAACAAATATTTCGGAAACAGCAAACAACAAGCAATCTAAAGTGTTTTAATTCTTACTGTTTCTTCAGTGCTGCGATTCCTTGTTGAACGGTGGGCCTGTTATATTTCTTCATATATTCGTGCATCTGTGCATAATTCTTCCTCATGTTCAGGTCAGTGCTACCATTGGGTACAGTAGCAAATTTAAATGGCGGCTTTGTATGATGCGGGTTTCGGAGCTGTCAAAGACATAAGAAAATATGAAGAAAAACACTGTGAGCAATCAAGAGTCACGTTTTTGCAGCTCATTGCTAGCGATAACATGTCTGAGTTTTACGCCCGTTTTTTGTGCCAATGACGCCATACTGGATGTCAAGAGACATTTGGCTGTGATGTCTGTCAAATCCGTATTTTACATGCCATCCGCAGTTCCCCGTTGACCAAGATATCTCTTGCATGGAGCCAAAATGGCAGTTCACAAATTCACTCTAATTCCAAGCCGACACTTTGGAAGCGTACACAGTAGGCGCTCTGACATTACATTTGTGGAAACATTATTTTGTTTCCGTTTTGAAATGAAACATTCTTTCTCATTTTTCATGTAATGCTGTATTGTCAATTACTGAATCAAGTGCACGGGCTAAAAAACGTCAAGAGTGATAAAAGCAGTTCGAACATCTTGGACAGTAAGAGGCAAGAGGAAGCATCGACGTTCTTGAGCACAAAGATGCAGCATAACTGAACTCAACTACAAAGCTGCTAAGACTTAAACGCAACTGCACTGTCAGTTACATTATTTAAATATACAGTTTCCCCATCAGTTGTAGCTGCATGTATATCCACACTGACAGTTACCATGACAACCTGAGTAAGACTTTCCAGAAAATAATACTTTACATAAATGTCACCATCATATGTGTTCATTTTGTCATAAGGGATTAGTTTACGTCACGTTATGGCAAAAAGGTGGAAGTGACAAAAAGAGAAAACAAATACACGAATGACATAAATATTTATAAAATTAACATTTTAAAACTTTATAGTTACATTTATGGATTTGAAAAAAATGATCATTTTCATTTTTTTGATTGTTATAAGAAATGAATATGTTTGAAAAATGACATAAATTCTTGTATTATGTTTGATTTGATATCCGATTATGTGTACCCTGAGGTCATAGAAGCAAGGATTACATTCCCGTCCATTTGCTTTGAGGCATTTTGTAAAGCCCTCTTTGTCGTTTTTATTCATTAACGATCATAACCTTTCTGTTGTAAATACCACATTCAGATGTATGGAATGAACTGAGCTGACCTTTGTGTAAATTATCTATAAAACGCCACAAAGTTCCACACAGTACATCGAAAAAAAGTTTCAAACAGGTTCGGACATGCATTTATGTACATAGTTTTATTATGAACATTGTTTTAATGTGATAAGTAATAGGTTTCTGTATATTTGTGCGACGAAAACATGCAAAATGAAAGAATATTGAATTTTGTAACAATGTCATTTTAGAACTCAATACACCCTAATGGTTTAAGAATTGAGAAAAACCTTAAACGTTTGATCTATCAAATATGTGCACATGCATGTGATATGGACATTGTTTGGATTTAAAATGCGGAAAATACACTTGTCAGACATGTACAGCTAATTTGAAAGCTTTTCAGAAGAATATTTCATTAACATAGGTAGATGTTTGCTCCAAGGCGCAAGGCACACACTATGAATAAAGCTCCTATGAAAGGTCCTTTTGGCATGAGGGGCTACTGTACCTGTTTGAAATTTCAATTGAAAGTTGTCAGACTTATTAACATGAAAAACTCTTTCATAAAAAGTTTTCCCCATAACTTTAAGGTTTGTTCTTTCTGTCTCACCTTTATGAACTTGCAGTAAGCATACATGTATGTCTCCCAGACATAAAATGGTACCTAGCTATTAATGTCTACTCAAAACGTACCCTCCAGTCTTTAATGCCACTGAGGTCATAGTACTGTTCCTTGGTGATCATGAAGGCTGCGAGGTTGGCAGTGTAGCTGGCCAGGAACACAAGAGCAAACAGAGCCCATAAATTGGAAAGGAACCTGCTGGAGACTCCCCTGGGAGTGTCTGTGGACACTGCGGCACTGAACAACATGGCCCATATCAGCCAGAACGACCGGAACAGAGAGAACTTGTGGTCTGGAACATCATATGATTTAAAGAGATTAAACCATTTTTACATGCTCCATTGTCGGGGTAATATATTTTAATCACGTGGTGGCAATATATCACATGATGACAGCCGTTCAGGACAGGATGTATATATATCAAAATATACATTTTGAAAACACCGGTATTCAATATGACTTATTGTTTAACTTTCATACGTATAATTTCACATTGTTTTTTAAAAGCCGCATGGAATGTCAGTTGTACACGTTGGCCTTGGGATTGTGGGATAAAAACCGATACTTTCAACATAGTGCCCGAGTTGATGCAGATTTCATGGAACAACCTGTCCCGTTTGTCAGGATAATTTCACTTTCAGAGCATTGTTTCATTTGGAATCTTCACAGAAGGCGTCTAATGGAATTGCCAGAGCACATCTAGAACTGAAGTACGATAACAAATCCACGAGAACTTTGAAGACATCCTGATTTATAGGTTTATAACTATCACGTATGGAAAGATATCCTTAGATTTGGAACCAAGGTACAGCCATAAGGGCTTATGATAAAAACATTTGTGTTTCTTCTAGAACTATTCATCATACATGCTGTGGATCAGAAGCACTCAAACCCAGATTATATTGTGTAGAATGTTCGCCAAGACATTCTTTAAAACATCGAACGGCTACACGCTGTGGCAGTGTCACCTTGACCCGGCGGTATGAAGCATCTACTCACCCAACAATGTGTCATTAATATGCCTTTACTAAAACACCAGTAACATGTCACAAATTAATTCTGGGAATTCAGTTTTGCAGAGACTCGCCACGCTGTGGCCAGTTCCTTTACAAAATATAATATAGTAAAAAGGAAAACCTGAGTAACGTAATGACGAGTACTTTGTTGAGTAAAGTACAAATTGCATATAGTTTAATCAGCATGTGAAAACGTGATTTCTCACGCTGTGAGTTACTACAAACATTGGGTCAAAATGCCTCTCTTTTATCAACTTATGTTACATCAATCATTTCAGCAGCAAGAGCTACATATCAGATAACGACCTGCCTAGTTCTGCCTATTTAATAATTCCATCAAATCATCTAACATCAGCAGCCATTCATGATAAATCTCTCAGTAATGTTAGAGCTGCTTTGATTGACCATGGTTAAGAGGTTCCAATATTTGGCAGCGTTGGACTAACAGTGCAATAATCAATCACAGACTCCTCAATCGTAGAAACAGATCCAGCCTTCCCTGTCTCTCTGCCGGCGACGATGGTTGCCGTCAGCAGTCACGGCCGGCTACGCTGTCTAACCGTCTGACATGGGATCGATTGTTCCCCCTTGAGTGCCGGGAATCCCTCTTGAGCCGTCTTCCATCTCCCGGCTTTATCTGCCGACCAAGGTTGGTAATTCCCACTGTAACCGTACACACAAAACTATAGTAATTGAAGCTGTTCCACATCCCCCTTGGTCCATGTTTTTCTCCGCCTCATTAGCGATAGCCAGGTTTGAAGTAGGGTCATTGAAAAGCCGCTCTGTGTTGGTCCATGTCTCCTCTTTGCTCTCATTACCTTTAATAAAGCTCTGACACCCAAATTTACCTTAGTTACCTCTCAAGGGTGTTTTTCCCTGATCCAAGCCATAGGGACTGAGCCACTCGAAGATGAAGATGGAGGCTCCGGTCGCGTGGACGCTGAACACCAGTATAAGACACCAAGATGGATAGTCGTAGGGTTCTGAAATACATAAAGACGTTAAATGTAATTCAAGACGAGCTTAACCCCTTCCAGAAAGCACAGTCTACCATATGTCATCTGCAATCTTAATTTGCACCATGTGTCGTTTTCTCTTTACCAATGACAATATATCATCCATCATGTCCCTTCTACCATTTACCTGAGAACAAACGTTTATTTTTACTTTATACCTTTCCCGTCATATATATCAATGTGCAGTGTACAGAGTAATATCTACGACGGTAATGCAAAGCCACTTACCACCTGCCCTGTACAATATATCTAGATTTCACAAATTACCACCAATCAGGTTCTCATGGGCATCACCATATTACCTAGTAAGAACAAACGCTTACTATCTACTGTATACCCGTTACCATCCTACACTCATGCCAATAATGGTTGTCACCCCCTCCCCACCCAAACCCCCACACCTCACCCCCACCCCTCTCCAATTAAAAAAATTGAAGGGGGTGACAACCATTATTGGCATGAGTATATATATGAATTCTGCCATCCTCTCAATTCAGTCATGTTCTCAATGTCATCTATCATTCAAATAAGAACAAACTCTTAATATTTAATTTATACCATTTACCATCATTTATATCAATGTGCATTCTGCAGTGTGTTATCTACGATCTGTCATGTATAGGCTACATGTGCCCTGTACAATATATAACACCAACCGATGACCAGCTGCTTAGTATAATCTTTCATCTATACAGTCCCTCTGTCGTCCTGCTTTCCATTCAACATGCCCATTTAATTGTGCAGCAAATAACCATCCATTCTTTTCATTTACATTTACCAGATCCAACCTTGGATCCTAAGTTCCTTTAACTATCCACGCAAACGTTTGTCAAATAAATACCACTGACGTTATCGCATCTGAACAAATCCTAAAACAAATTTCAAGACATATAGATCCATACAGATGCTACTGACCACCCATCAATGTAACCAAACGTTGTGCACTATGCATAGTTTCTACAAACAGTTCACAACCAAACCAGCTTTCTCGCAAACTGGCAGTTCAGTGCTCTTTCCAAGTCCTTACACTGCCAATAGCATTTGTATCTACACAAGAATAGCTCTGAGTCAAGTATGATGATGTTATTCATGTCACGTTCACTACCAACAACAAAAGTTTGGTGAAGGAACTGACATTCGATTCTGTATGATTGAGTGTCAAGGAATTGAAATATATATGACAAACAGAACATACTGTTTCTTTAAAAAAACCAATTTGAATTCTTTTATCTAACAGGAATGACTATTATATTTTTGCCATTATATAGTGTAAGGGAACGCTATTACTTCTGTATGCATAAAGTATTTGGCAATGCATGACAGAACCTGGATTAAGCACCCAGTATGTACAAGACTAATCAACCCTTTTCATGCTTTACTTCAATCAAATATTGCACACACAATTAAATATATCAGTTAATTTCATAACATGTTCAAATTGATAGAACCTCTTAACGTTTCGTTGTGCTTAATGCTTTAATGAGGCTGCTGGGAGTAGGTTCCCATTGTGTTATACAGTTGATGAATAAAAGACAAAACGCAGTTGTCCAATCTTTGAGGTCAACTACTTTCAACAAAGGAAATAATGAGTCAAAATGTACTCATAATGTATCATAATGAAAGGAAATTGACCATTCATGCATATATATTTCGGATTCCTGCTTCTATATGTGACTGAATAAAGAGATGTATTTATAGAACAGCATGCTTAATATCAATATGTTAACTGCAGAGAGATAAATGACTTTATAGGCACCCAACAAAGGACATTAAATACAATAATGAAGGGAATATGGTCTTGCTAGCCTGGCTGGTCGTATACTTATACACATAAAGATATCGACTCGGGCAACTTAAAACGTCAACGGCAAAGTTCCCTATTTTCAGAGCAGTTCACCATTCTGTAGAGCTATAGATTCGCTGTCAATCGGATTTGAAAGGTTTATTTTCCGAAATGCAATAAGTAAATTCATTTATTTTATCTGTAATGAAAGCTGAATGAAGACTTCACGAATGCTTGAAAGTTCCTTCAAGGAATGACATTGTCAACAGAACAATCAACAGATTCGTCATAATGGAACTAGAAACTGACACATTTATTCTTATTTCATTCTGCGCCATTGACAGAACACTAAAGAAAGTTCTATGATATTGGCGTTTTTCCAAAACAATCTCCACCGGACTCGAGAAAGACATCCTGTCAGAAGGATAAAGGATACGGATTAAGGAAACAGGCTTACCACGTACCGTTATTACGCACAGTATTATTGCTAAGACCTGTTGAAGACGTTCCCGAAGGGTGGAAGTTTGTATCCAAAATTCTACTTATAAGTTTGCAGTCACGACAATATTTAATTATTAGAACAGGCATTCGCATCATATCGCTCACATGTGAGATTTTGTGTTTCCTCTTTCGCATCCTCAACCAATTATCAAATAACCAGCATCAAACAAAGGACCCAGGAATGTCATTATTGCACAAGGATAAAAAATCATTTACTGCGAGGCAAAAGCCTTCATCTAAACGACGTCGGGCTTCCCTGAATCAAAATTTAAAAGAACGTCCATTGCTTGTAAAGAGATAAACTCCGCGCGGATCAGGATGCTACAGTATCATTCTTTAATCAATAGCAACCTTTGTCGGACTTCTTCAGCTTCCTACGTTAATCATCAGTCGCAAGTAAAAACAGGCTTGAGGACAGGGACGGTGCCATGGCTTCGTAAATACTTGCCTGCGACACCAAATAATGATAGAATTTGTGGTCTTATCGCTGCAAATTTAAACATGGCTTAATGAGCATTAGCATCTTACGCACAGAAAGAAGAGATTTGTGTAACTGAGCAACAAAGTGCTGAATACGATGCCAAATTAAGCTGTTTATAGTGTGGAACCGTAGGCTTCGTTGATATTTTTTTCAAATTATTGTATATTGCGCCGATATGTAATAGCTCAAGGCATGTACCTCATAAATCATAATTATCTAACTTTATTAAATTCTCAATGGTCCTACATTGATAGGCTGGCGTTAAATTGAAAGAGTATGATGGAAATTTGATATTGGTATATTATCCGCATGTGGTTATTAATCATTAGAGTTGGTTCAGCGCTTAGTAATAGATATGATTGGTGCAATGAAGCGATATGCACAAGTTCATCTTCTATGTGGGTCAGCTGATTTATAGCTTCACAAAGTAGTTTTGTGTATATTAACAAAACATTGTAAATAACAAACAGTACTTGAGTGACTTGTTTGAGTGGCATTTTAGAAGTTGAGACGTACAATATGGAACAAGCTTTTATGGATAACAACTTCTTTATTTCGTGAGTGCGACGTTTCGATACAGATTCTTGTACCGTTGTCAAGCAAGAGTTATACATGAAGTGGAGGAGTTGCATATTTATACTGTGTATAACAATGAAACTACATGCATTGTAATTGACAAAGGAAACAACATAATTGCCATAATTGGTTAAGCAGTAAGCTGATGAAGCCAGTGAGTACACAAAGGATAGTGAATGGTAGCCAGAGATGTATAATTACAGGAGTGGTACAATGAAGGAGATGTTTATACAATAGGTGCGATGTTTATACAATAGATTGGGCTTGGTGGAGGAGTGGATCATAAGCTGATGGAATGAAGTATCCTTGGTCACGGTTGATGGTGGGCTTATGGCGTTTGATGTGAATGGCTTCGTTGAGCTTGCGTTTAGTGAAGTCCGTTTGGTTGTTGGCGAGAATGGTGAAGTCGGACCACTCTATTTGATGTTTGGGGTTTGCTTTGATGTGGTCAGAGATAGCTGATTTGGTGTCGGAGTTAGCAACAGAGGTGCGATGTTCTTTGACTCGGGTGTTGATGGGTCGGGATGTTTCACCTATAGAGTGGTCCGACTTCACCATTCTCGCCAACAACCAAACGGACTTCACTAAACGCAAGCACACCGAAGCCATTCACATCAAACGCCGTAAGCCCACCATCAACCGTGACCAAGGATACTTCATTCCATCAGCTTATGATCCACTCCTCCACCAAGCCCAATCTATTGTATAAACATCGCACCTAAGTTGTTATCCATAAAAACTTGTTCCATATAGTACTTGAGTGGTTCAATGCCTAGCATAGTCCATTCATCATACACGTGCACATACAGGTTAAAATTGATCTTCACCAATCCATGCTGGTCATACGAGGCGGCTAACGGGATCGGGTGGTCAGGCTTGCTGACTTGGTTGACACATGTCATCGTATACCAATTGCATAGAACGATCCGCATGCTGTCGATCACTGGGTTGTCTGGTCCAGACTCGATATTTCACATACCGCCGCCATATAGCTGGAATATTGGTGACTGCGGCGTTACACAACAAAATGACATATCACTGCAATTCTGTTCGAAACGGCGTTAAACCCAACTAACCTACTTACTTGCACGCCGGAATTAATTTGGATATTATGATTTCAAAATGTTCTGTTCGTTCTCACTCGGTTATTTGTAATTATAAGGATGATGGCAGGTGACATATTGTGAGGCCTATTATATTACTGGTCGTATCGGCATCAGTACACATCTCCTAGCATTATTTATGTGGAGGAGTACTGCACAATATTTGTTATGATGAAAGCGACAGTTCTGCACATATGATATTTCTCTCCTCATATTAGGAATATCAAAGCGCTTCAGAAAAACACATGACAGACATGAAAGTCCGGGGAACAACTATCGCAGTGAATGTAATGAAAAGGAAACGGTTATTGTGACAATATTAAACGACATGCTACAAACACGAGTAGACATGAATCGTCATTTCTCGAAGGCTTAACTCAATATCAACATTTTTGTGAAAGGAGAGACTGAGAAATTATTCTTTTGTTCATTGTGATGTGTTTTACAATTAACTTACATACACATATATTGATTATAACAAATACTTGTCCAATGTGTTTGTCATCCCGATGGCTTTTTGGCAGAAATGTGTAACGACATTTGCACATAAACGTCAGTATCAGTATGCATAAATCATTCAATATAATAAAGTCGTTTTTGTAACACTAACATGTTCCTAACTATACAAAACATGTCAATGAAAGCGACAGAACCTTTTCAATAATCACGACGAGCCTCTAATAAAGGTACAGCTTCAGTGTGAATGCTGAAAGCAAGAACATTTCAGCAGGGTAGTTTGATGTATGCTACCCATCAAAGGTTTAGACTCACTAGTGTAAATGTAGCCACTTACTTCAGTCAACTGTTCTAAACTAGATTTGCTAAATATTGCATAATGTTTAAAGGTACTGTTTACACGTGATCTGATGTATTGTAAAACAAATTCGTAACGTTGAAAAAATATTTTCATGATTTCAATAAATGATGAAACTCAGTGAAACTTGGCGAATTCTTAACAAAACTTTACACCAAAACGCAGCTGTTCACATGCACGATATTTGCACATGCTTTTCAGAAAACTGATGCATGATCCTCGTGCAATTCATCTGCATCATGTTTGCAGATGGTTCCTCTAAGTTAGTGGAGAATTCATCTTCGATGTAACCGTATATATACACATATATATACATAACATATAGTGAGTGTTTTACGTGAGTCTAAACTTTTGATGGGTAATATACATTGAAATGACACTCAGCAATGCCCTTAGTGATATGGAGCCAGGAAAGTAGAGTGTAGAAATGCCTTGCAAACGGCCTCTAAACGACGTTAGGACTGTATATACCTGAATACGATTTGCGTTTTTGTTTTTTGTTTAACGACGCAATATTCCACCTATATGGCGGCAGTCTGTAAATAATCGAGTCTGGACCAGACAATCCAGTGATCAACAGCATGAGCGTCGATCTACGCAATTGGGATGTGATGACATGTGTCAACCAGGTCAGCGAGCCTGATCACCCGATCCCGTTAGTCGCCTCTTACGACAAGCATGGACTGCTGAAGACCAATTCCCGGATCTTCACGGGTTCTTGAGTACGAAATACGATTTACAAAGTGGTCAGCTTTCCGACCCGGAGGTTGGGTACTCTGAGAATGTGGGTTTCCGGATGTCACTCAATCCCAAACGCATTCGAATTAGTCCTATGCCTCGAAAGTGCAGCGCAAAAGGAAAATACCCCATACATTTTGCGTATATACCTGCAGAAATAAAAGGCTATCTCTACACGCAGTAATGAAGGTCTTCCAGCGGATAGTGGATCTGATGGTCTGACTGACCGTGTACATGCACGTAAGCAATGGACGTTTGGTATACATCAAGAAGACGCGGAGATTAATCTCTAATGCCTTGTAAAGCTGCGATAAACTAAACACTTTATCTCATCTATAAAAGTGTGTATGGGGTTAAACTGTTTTTAGAAATATTCCAATAATACACCAGAAATGGAGATTAACCCATTTGACCCATTTGGAGAATCGAGCCCAGGCCTTTGGCAAGACGAGGGAACACTTCAACTAGAAGGCTACTCCGTCTATCTCCAATATAATGAGAATCGGTTCCCATCTCCCATCAAGAGCATGCACGATTTCCCGCGTCCTCAACCATATGAACGTACCCACCCACTCTGTAAACATGGTCATGTCTGCACACGTATCCCATCATAACGGAGACTAGTCACTCTCTCCTTACAAGATTCAAGTAATTCAAAGCCCACTCAGTTTCACTTTTGACCCTCATTTCAACAGCTTAATCGAAGCGTTGCAATATCTCTTGTCCTATGCCGCCCAAAGCGTTATGTAGCTAGCAGAATGAGCCGAGTGGACCCGAGTGGTTACCTAGAAATGCTGTAGGCGATATCTTTCCGTCCCGGATGGATACCATGATCGTTATTCCAGTCTCCAGGAAAGGCACGGAGAAGTCGATCTGTTTGGCCCTCTCTGGAGTCACCGTCAAAGACGTCACAGCCATATCCGCCTTGTTCTCCTTCAGAACCCCTATGATGCCATTCCATTCCTTGGTATACTGTGAAAATAGGATCCCGGTATTATTCAATCAAGTGGTCGCATGATGCCACGGGATTATGGAGGAATCTCGAAGAATAATGTTTTTCATCATAACATGCATAAAGTTTAAAAACATATTAAAGTTCAGTGATATGTACATGGACACTCCTGAAATGTTTGTTTATGCAATATTTGACTCGCCAAACAAACCTTAAAGTTCGTTAAAGTCCCAAAGGTCCTTAGTATGGTGATCTACCTTCAGTTGCTGGCGATCTATAGCCCGTTTTTGTTTTGTCCTAATTTGAAATCCAATTTTAGAGAGAGATGCTAGTTTTGTTTCTTGATACTGTGATATTCTAGTTAGTTTTACCGTCCTTCGACGACAGGTTTTATAGTTTACATGTATTTATGGACAATTCTAAACTTGTTTTAGTCACGATATGGCTGAAATATTGCCGATGTGACTGTGAATCTTAACTCATTCACTCACTTTAAGTTCGTTAATGTATATCCCTCAATGTTTCCAAACACAAGTCATTGTCCAATCAAGCCTAATAGCCCTTGGTGGAAACTTACCGAGTTTTCTGCTCCCCATTGGCCATCAGCAACTTCAAAGAGCTCAAAGTCAAAATTTAACTCCAGGGCAAAGATACGTAGGATATCAATGCTGAGACCAGTGCAGCAGGTGTTGTTGGTGACGTTGCTCGTTCTAGGCGACAGAGAAAATGGAAAAACGTCAACACCTTCCATGCCCTAAAGGACTTTCATGTTCCTATCTGTCACATGACAAGAACAGATAGATTAAACAAAAGGTATCGACAATTTTCATGCAATCACAGTTCTTTGATGCATGCTGTGAAGCTGTGAGAATATGAATAAAATATATGTTTGAACTTTCTGAATTTTCTGTTTTTGAAAACCAAGGACATTAAGTATATGCCATTTCCCGAAGCAAATATCTGAGGTATGGCTTTGACATGAAAGCGTGAAAATTAAATAAAAGCGACAAAACGCTAAATGTCCCGAAAAAATGGAATCGACTGTCGATCCATTTAGCGTAAAATTAAAATTTGAGGTAAAAATGATGCAAAAAATTCCAAAGGCAAGTAAATTGTTCACCAAAAAAGCACGGGAACATATGCTACGAGTCAGTTAAGGAAATTGCAACCTTTGCCCATTCTTTGAATATTGTAACCTTGAAAAGAAACAACAGCTGCAACAGGAACATCAACTAAGCAATGGTTAAGCAACTGTCAAAACACATATATCACTCCAAGTTTTGAGACACTGTTTGTGAAACAATCGGTTAGCTGAACACTCGTATTTTCCCAAGTCTGGAGGTCTGGATCGGTGTTAAAGTGCATATTGCCCACAGTAAGGGCAACTGTCCACCAAGTCAGAGAAAAGTTATATCGATTGGAACGTGGTGGGTGACATTTACTCTAATCCTGACTGACAGCCTTATTCTCAATAAAAAACCCGAAAAGAATATCCAGGAGAATGTACACCCAAATAGATGTAATGTGATATATCTTGTATGATTTGAAAAATGCAGCGCAGCAACGTTGACCCTGAACGTGCCTCCATGTTTGATCTTTAACAGTTTAAAGAGTTTTAGAACTGAGCCAGATTCTTTTCTCCGTCTCGATGAGTCTGTCCATGATGTATAACACTTTTGTGATGGCGATTAAAAAAATGTTTAACTCGTGATCAGCTTCATGTTCTGCTGTTAATCCAAAACCGATCTAAAAAGTTCTGTTTAAAGTGTATTAAAAGTATCGCCTACCACTCCCTTCATTCAATAGAAGCATGTGCCTTTGAAGATGCTAATATATTTTTTTACGATTTGTCGATTTCTCATTTCAGATGAATTTCTATTGTCAGTTTCAGAAATGAAAAACGAAAACCGGATATTTACAATATAACGAGCTGTTAAAACATGCAATCAACGCAATAATGCTTTCTTCAGTCACGTTTTGATCCCAGTTAGAGAATACATCATTTCATAAAGCAATACCAGCCTTGTGAGTAATGAACCGAAATGTGTAAACATCATAAACATTTTATGATTAACTGGGGAGCTAATTGTCTATTTCCAAATAATAAATAGTTCACGGATTCATTATAAGCTGAGAATATTGATTTTTCTACTGAGGGAGAGTTGTCCCGTGTTTACATCCAAAGCGTTCTTATTGCGCCATAAACTTGCTCTGTCGTAGTTAGACGCACATACTGCATATAGCGAATGTGTTATTCAATTTCCCTATCTTAAGTACGTGAGTAAACATTGCTTTCGTGAAGCATAAGTACCATTTCAGCTAATGGAACTGAACGCCTGTGCTAATGCCCCTGTCAATATGCATTACATCACTGTTTAAAAAATTCTGGACATCCTCTGTGAGCTTAAAAATACGTTCTGTGAAAATGGAAGAAGTAGAATCCAGTGTCTCCTGGTGTAAGCTTTATCGAACTGTCTTAACCGAATGGTTGGGAAACGCCGTTCACGTGGATCTAAAGTTACACCCGTTCTTTTATGGCACTGTAAGAACCATGGAGCTTATACGAGGTATGCACTCATGAGATTCTGTTTATGCCTTCTTCCAAAGGCAACCACATTCCTTGCCCGTTGCCGACCAAAGTTTGGGAGGTACAGAAGTGCATCTTCTATTTTATATCATGATGCTAGCTCACGATTTTGTTGGTTTGTTGGGTAACTCCGCATTCAGCAATATTCCAGCTATATGGCGGCGGTCTGTAGATAATCGAGACAACCCTGAGATGACAGAATGATCATCGGCCTACGTAATCGGGATACGATGGCATGTGTCAACCAAGTCAGCGGGTCTGACCACCCAATCCCGTTAGTCGCCTTTTACGACAAGCATGGGTTACTGAAGACGAATTCTAACCGGAATCTTCACGGTTTAGAAATTAGTCTTCTAAAGGTAATGCTCATTTTGTTACATGACCTTCCATTACCTCTCGTTCCTGTCGTTCCTGGCGTACACCCGACACGGCACCGCATTGTGTTCACACATGCCTGTCCTGTTGTCGAAGTCGCGGTACATGACATACGGGTCTTCCTTCCACGTGACTATCCGAAGGAAGTACTTCTCCGGCTTTCCTTTTGGAGGTTCCGTAGATTCTCCTGGCCATGTGATTCCCTGAATGACCAGACCATCTTTGGTCCAGCTACCGACCTGTATATGTACAAGAGTGAGTGAGTGGGAGTGAGTGAGTGAGTGAGTGAGTGAGTGAGTGAGTGAGTGAGTGAGTGAGTGAGTGAGTGAGTGAGTGAGTGAGTGAGTGAGTGAGCGAGCGAGCATGTACGGTAGTGACAAATAATGAATCAACTAACAAACACTAGTGTATTGATATTGTTTTACGGCGCGTTTGGCAAATCAGAATTTTTTTACAGCGACATGAATGAGATCGATTCTATCAAAGGGAAAGCAGAACCTAAAAGCATGAACAACGATCAATGATGTGAGGGAGAATTACACGCTTTCACCAAGAGGACACACATCAACCACAAGATCCCCTTTAGCCAGACGGTCCGACAAACGCAAGTGCGAGGGACCCTTTGAGCCTCTGTTTCTATTAGAGGTTATTCCTGTTAAGACCAAAGCTCGACTGCTACCAGTGCCTGTCCTGTATGGCGACTAAATTGATCGGATAGTCCGTTTTGGTTACTTGGTTTATTGTGTGTCACCGGATCCAAATGACGTGTATACATGTTCACGATATCAATCACTGGTTTAGTTTTTTGACAGCAGCCATTGAGCTGGGTTATTGCGAACGCAGCTTTAAAGGTCGCAGAAAACACACATGCAGCACAAACAAAAACAGACAACCTACTTAAAATTCTGATCGAAAGTACAATTTCTTTGTTTTCGTCATTTTCCTTTCCAAATTGAAGTTTACAATCGTCTCCCTTTTTAAATGTAATTTTTGTTTGCATGTTGATAATAGTTTTCGCATCCGCTGTGTATCTGGCTTTTTCATTAGGTCTGTAATAACGAGTTACTGGATTTACATTAAGTCTTGTCTAGCGCGTTTATATAGATTAAATATTGGGTGCTAAACCAGCATTTTAGCATCAGAAAAGAAACATGCATTTTCATTTACCTTCTGTAATAAAATAACAAATTGGAAAAAATATGCTAAAACGTTTTCAAAGAAAAAGCAGGAAATGTGGTTCTTAGTAATCTTAAGCCAAACTACGTTATTACATGCGTCATAGAAATTCTGATTGCCTGTATTCAATAGATGGGGTAGTGTACTAACTTACAATCTTACACTATTATAGCAAACTCAAACATCTGCTCAAACGTGGCCTATTTGTGCATAAATGTGTACGTCTATCATGCTCTTGGTGAATATATAACTATCTATCTTGACAATCTGCTTCATGTGTACTTATTCGTCTTTTGAGATAGAGACTATTCACAGTTTGCTAAGGATCAAATCATTGATTCAACTGAAAAATATGATGTGGGGTCAAATTTGGTTTAAATATCTAAGCTTATTGTAAGCATGGATACTCGGTTTCAGTGTGTCATTTCATCTTGTGGATCCCATACCTGCTATTGACAGGTGTTGTGTACTTGTGAATGACTTGTTCCATGATTTGCAAAATGGTTCCCTGGTGCCATGAAAACCATTTGTATGGTTACTCATGTATCAAGTGCATAAGGTTACAGATTAAATTGACTGTTTGCCTAAGAGGGGTTACCATATAATTATCTATCCAGTTTGAAATGGATACAATTTCAAATTATAAATCTACGTTTAAGTAAAGTTGTGATTTATTGTGATCCTTTAGCAAAGTGTGAGTAATATATTATGTTCTCATTGACGTGATGCAAGCGTTACAATGACACATCAGTGTTAGCTGATTCCAACATCAAGATGCATGTCGGCTGATACAAAGCAATGCATGCCTGAATTGACAGTCTGGTAATATCCTTTTATGCCTGAAATGACAGTCTGGTACGTATCGATGTATGCCTGAAATGACAGTCTGGTACGTATCGATGTATGCCTGAAATGACAGTCTGGTACGTATCAATGTATGCCTGAAATGACAGTCTGGTACGTATCGATGTATGCCTGAAATGACAGTCTGGTACGTATCAATGTATGCCTGAAATGACAGGATCTGGTACGTAGTCTGGGTATCGATGTATGCATGAAATGTATCGAATGACAGTCTGGTACATGTCCGTATTGAAATGAGAGTCTGGTTCGTATTGTATGCCATATAGCTTCTGACAGTACCTATATTGTATACATGTCAGTGCCTCCTGTTTTGAAAATATTGTACATGCCAATGTATCTATTGGCAGTCTGGCCATTATAAATGACTCCCTTGACAGTCTGGTATATAGTGGGTGAGTGAATAAGGTTTTACGCCGCTTTCACCAATATTCCAGCAATATCACACCGAGGAACAGCAGAAATGGGCTTCACACTCTGCACTATGTGGGGAATCGAACCCGGACCTTCAGCGTGGCGGGGGGTAGCCTACGGTTAAAGCGGCTGCTAGCCACGCTGTAGACCCGGGCTCGATTCCCAACATGGGTACAATGCGTGAAGTCCATTTGTGGTGATCCCCGTAGTGATATTGCTGGAATATTCCTAAAAGCGGCGTAAAACCATACTCACTCACTCACTACGTATGTGGTGTGCGTACCTCCTTAGCTATTGGGTAGTTCCTGTCGCTCCTCTGAATGTTCAGAATCTGGAGGGAAGTGTGCTTGAGAACACCCGTGTCATTGAAATCATGTGACGGCGCATTCTTCAGATAGCTGAAATCCATAAACAATGTTCGCAATGCATTTGCTATCACAGTTTGTCATATATAAAACACCCCATCATTTGGCGTACATTGTGTAAAACATAATGGAGTTACCATTCCTCCGATAACAGAAGAAACAAGGACTGCTCTCATGTCCCCTTGTCGAATTTGCAGATTTTATAGGGCCAAAACGCGAAATATTTTTCGTCTTTTTATAAATTTGTAAAAGTAATGAAAATGAAAACAAAAACATCTAAATCGAGCAAATAAACGAAATAAAAAAATGGTGATCTGTACAAAGATGTTACAGCCGTTAAGAGCCTCGAAATGTAGATGTAGGTATTTACATTTTTTATTTAAGTAAAAACATCTTCATTTGTCATTGAATTATTCCAAACAGAAATATCAAACTCCCGAGAGACTGAAACAGGTGCGATTTACCGTTAAGTTACGAATACAAGAAGACAACTATTCACTTCTTATCCACCAAGTGCTGTTCTGAAACAAATCCCACTTTTCTCTTCAAGAGAACATATTCACAAGGTGTAGCCAACTATTTACTGCCATGCTGAACAGAGTCTAACTTATATCATCTTCAGTCTCAAAGGAGATATGGCAAGCATATCGTGCTGACAAGAGAACCTACTTGAAAAATTCGCCCCCATCGTTCCAGAACTGCCTCTTGGTCTCCTTACAGGAGAAGCTGGTGTTCAAGTTGATGGTCATATCGTTGCCCACCTTGTTGATCGCCTCAAACCACATCGTCAGTGTAGACGTAATGGCGTTTTTCATTGCTGTCAAACCGTTCTCAAACGATATAGCTGAAAAGATATGTTCTATTCGTCTTGAAAAAGTAAGGGGTACTTTTTCGTGGACGTATCTTTAAGGTGTGTCTTACTTTGCTCGTGGAGGTTCTGGAGCGAGCATGAGTGACCACTGTTGCACGAAACATTTAGGAATATTCAAGAAAATGATGAAAGGAGCTTAATGAATAGTCTTCGGGTATTGTAACCATATGGGGAATCAAACTTAGGTCTTTCCTTTGGAGACGTAATCGTCAAGCAATTTAGGGTAGCATTCAATGTATTGGTCCTTTAGGAGTTAGTGAGTGAGTACGGATTCATGTGTACAGCTTTAGTCTAGAAATCCCAGCATATTACCCCGAAAATGGGTTTCACTGTATCCATGTAGAAATTGGAGTGTGTGAGCGTTAACACCATACTCAGCAATATTCCACCTATATGGCGGCGGTCTGTAAATAATGGAGTCTGGACCAGACAATCCAGTGATCAACAGCATGAGTATCGATCTACGCAATTGGGATCTGATGACATGTGTCAACCAAGTCAGCGAACCTGACCATCCGATGTCAATCATGATCTTCACGGGTCTGTAGAAACTGGAACCCGGCATGGCGACTGAATTCTTTAACCACTGGGCCACCTCAGCGTCCCTGGTTACCTAGGAGGAGGTACATATAGGTACATAACTCCTGCATCTCCGGCTTCCTGGTAAGAATGTCACAACAACCTTCAGGAACGCCAATCGTGAGAGGACACCAAATAGATAGGGTAGTCCTGGTCAACGTCCAGGTTGATTGAGTGTCAAGGTACTCTGACAACATTGATAATTGCTCTGCAATGTTAACTGAAGAAATGTCTCCTCCAGACACGATTATATACAGGAAGCGTTATATAGCTGGAATAGGTCTGTGTGTGTCGTTGACCAACAAACAACCAATGAAGGCTGTGCTAAATGTATGCATTTGGCGGTAGGGTTGGTTGATCGGTTTATTGTTTAACGCCGCACTCGGCAATATTCCAGCTATATGGCGGCGGTCTGTAAATAATAGAGTCTAGACCAAACAATCCAGTGATCAACAGCATGAGCATCCATCTACGCAACTGGGATACAATAACATGTGTCAACCATGTCAACGAGCCTGACCACTCGATCCCGTTAGTCGCCTCTGAGGTTACTGCATGAGACCAATTCTAACCCGGATCCTCACGGATCTGGCTGTAGGCAATAGAGATACTTTAACTCCTTTTAAACAACACGCCATCCTGAAGTCATTACTTTCTTTAAAAGAAAGATCTCTACAGGATTCGTTACATGATCTTTTGCATTTTTATAAGATTTATAAACATGTTGTATCTACAGTGAAATATGAATGCCATAACCCAGACCTGTTGTCGATAGTCTGGAATTATGCTTAAGTGGAGACAACGAGTATCACAAATGTAGACATTTACATATTTATTTAAAACATAAACATCTAAATTATTCTGCATTTGTGACTAAAGTATTCGAAACAGGTATATTAAACTCCAGACAGACTGAAACAAATGCGTTTTACAGTTACGTGATGTTTTGACGAATACATGACTAAGTTAGGAACACAACTGTACAATAAAAGTATGCCAAGTGCTATTAGGTTGTCCTGAAATAAATGCCACTTTTATATACGTGTCAGATGCGGTTTGTCTTGAAAACCGTTGTTCATGTACCTACATTTAGCGTCGATGTTGAAAGTAACATCGGGTGACGTTAAGTCAATGTCAATAATCAGTCTGGATCAACTGGCGAGAAAACATTGAAAAAAAATATTTCCAGTCCTGTTTTCAAGAATACAAAAACTATCAAAACTTAATCTACTCCTCCCGATCCCCGACTGGCAAAACCATGTAAACTTAGCGACGCTTGAAGGAACCCCGACGATGCATTTCTGGAATGTCTAGCCTACAGTAACATATAAACTGCCCTCACCAAAGAGTCCATATGGGTAACTTGATGCCACTCGGCCTCTGAAACCCAGTGATAACGCTGTTGAAGTTATAATCCACACATAATCTTTCGTTGTCAATCCAATACTCGCTGCCACATCAAGGATGTTTTTCGACTCAGAACTGCAAAATACGAAAGAAATATTCCATCAAATAATGCATTAGTCTGTCAGTGGCAATTATGCCATTGGACGATGATTCGATAGGATATCTCTACAGTAATACCAGACTAAGAAGATTTTGAAGGTATGTATGTTTACTATCATATGTAATCCTTTTGCTATCATATGTAATCCTTTTGCTATCATATATAATCCTTCTGTCGTTCCTGTCATATCTAGGGAACGATGAAATACAATGTGTGTGACCTCTAATATGGCTCTATGTAACGTGCCTTGTTACTTTATATTGAGTATGACATATATGAGTGACAGTATGGATTTACGCTGGTTCACCAATATTCCAGCAATATCAGGAGGGTGGACACCTGACAAGGGCTTCACACAATGTACCGACAGAGGGAATTGTAGTTGTGTCTTCAGCAACGAGCGACATATGTCATATGTCATATGTTGACAAATGGGAACATTATTCGCTAAATGATATTTATTCCATAAAATCTTTCATTACACAATCCTCTAGAATTTGAACACACTTTGATTTCAAAGGGCTTGCTGGACTTGCTTCTATACATACAAGTGGAAGAGCAAAGAAACTTTACCCCTCAGTCTTGTATAATAATATGATACTTATGAATATCTTAAAATAGCGATATAATATCCCAGAATGAACTGTATTGGTGCCTAGTCAGCATTAAGTTATGCCTCTAGGCCAAATGTAGAGATAGCGTCAAAATCAGGTAATATTATCACCAATACTGCATATGTTGTCCATGTTGAACACCAGTGCTTGTCACCGTCCATTACACCATGCGGTTCATACTCATGCAGTTGGTCTATGAACATGTGGACACTGTTTCAACAGTGGGGTAAACCTTGTTTGTGTTTAGTAACCTAGTACGTTCTGTGGCTAGTACTATAACAACTAGACTTTTGAAGGATGAGTGAGTGAGTGAGTTTAGTTTTACGCCGCACTCAGCAATATTCCAGCTATATGGCGGTTTTAAAGGAAGGGAGGTGTCATAATAATTACTGAATAACACATTTGCTGCTGGTGAGATATCCTAAAAGATAGGGACTTTTCCAGCATTTGGTCAAGGACATACAGTACATGGTTTAAGTATTTCATACAGTTTGACTTAACACTTTATGTTTGTATTATACATGTCGATCGAGCGGTAAATATGTTTCATCAGGAATGGCATTTCACTCTAGAAAGTAGCTCTCGTTACGAATTATATAGAACATTTAAAAACCTATTACAACCTGAACTGTATTTATCTAAACTTACTTTTAAGTGTAACAGAAAAATATTTGTCAAATATAGGACAGGTTTGTTGGACTTAATCGTAAATAGAGGCAGAAAACTGTCCATCCCAAAATCTGAAAGATCTTGTCCTTTATGTAATTCTTCAGTAGTAGATGAACTACATTTTACCCTTGACTGTCCATTTTATGAAGATTTACGTTACATGTATATCCCAGAACGTTATCTGTCGGAACCACCACTGATAGCTTTTACCAGTTTATTAACAACTAATAATGAATCCACCCTACCCAATCTAGCTCTCTATGTTAAATATGCATTTATTCGTCGTAACGAGCACTTACAGTTAACCATGTCTTAATGTATGTTACTCGCTTATATAAGGACCGGTGGCCTAAAATACAATAAACGATTGTCTTGTTTTGTCTACATGTCGCACAATACTACTGATGTGCATCTCAGAAATCGTATATTTTACAATATATTGGCTCGAAAATAATTCGTTCCACGTCTTAAAAAAACCCCACAAAATTATCCATCCATATTCACAAAATGGTGCAGGAAAGTGTGACGGGTGAATAATCATAATCAAATTTTAAATCAAGAAATGTTATTTTAATGTTCAAAGTGATACTACACCTTTTCTCAGTATCATATCACTGCAAACTAGAACTCTCTGTATGCTCTATGAGCATGCCCCCGGCGTGGAATTTTGGCGCTTTAGAAATATACTTATTATTATTATTATTAAATAACTTCAGAGCAGTTCAAGAAAGAACACGGTAAACTTTCTGTTGTGCCTCAGGGTTAGATGCTTATGTTCTAAACATATTCCACTGTCAAAATGAAGGTATGAATGAGTTTGGAAAATGAAACTTGGATACATAATGAACCGGTGTATATTTGAGTCATGATATAGTTTTGGTCGCAGCTATCTTAAACATGCATTTATTTTAGATATAATTCTAAACCTTTTTAGGACATGATGGATATGCCTGTTCCCTGATCGTCACGTCAACGACCCGGGTTTGATTCCGGTATATAGTGTAAAGTACAAGTCTGGTGTCCTCCGCTGTGATATTGCTGGAATGTGGTAAAAAGAGGGTAATTCCATACGAACTCACTTTTGCAATCACTTATTGTTTAATCAAGATATGTTTCTTTTTCGTTTTTCTTTTCGTTTTAGAACCTTCCAAAACACACACTACATGACCCCTCCTCAAATGGTCTGTCCTTCATTTGCATATATTGTGGGTTTTTTTCAAATATGTATTAAAAACTATAACAAATACGTGTCATCAAAATGTACAGAAACAGAAGAAAAAGTTTCGCGCTGCATAAAATTATTACAATATCACTTTATCGCACTGTATTCAACGTAATACAACAACACCCTTTTCAACGTAACGTAGCTCTCAGAAGGTCAACAAAACACAACACAACACAACACAAGCCATCCAAACGCAAACCAATGTATGTACATCACAACACAACAGCCCCATCGATTCAAAATCGCCCTACACCGACTTCCCAACCCTCTGTCATTGCCAATATCCTCTTCCCAATATCCCCTTACCAAGTAGATCAAAGATTGATATGTAAGTAATGGGTAGCTATCTATCAACCTGAGAGATTAATTCATTCCCCAAACCCTATCCCCCTTCCCTTCTATCACCTGACTTCACTTCGTCTCCCAAGCCAAATCGCAGTCTCCATCATGGAACTGACAAATACTTCTGAATCCCTTCCTTAACACTTCGTCGCCTTTATGTCAATTCCCACAACTCTAAGATAGCTCCGAGAGAATACGATTTTCCATCATTTCCAAGTTCTGTCTCTCGATTTCTCTTTCCTCTTTCTTGTCAAGTGCTCTATTGGTACCACGAATAATACATTCTTCGGGTTCTTGTGTATGAGACTGACAGCTTTGGGTCTTGTTATTGTCATAGGAAATCTTCAAGTTCATCTGTCTGTGCACCGACCATGTGTTACCAATTCTCGGTGCCATGACTCGGTGTTCTGTCACTCTAGTCGACGGACGAACGTGTGCCATGATCTATGACACCTTCTCGTGGTCAGGGGATGCACTCTGTTCACGTGACACACGTGACTGAGTTACTGATCGATCTGGTACCACACCCTGACTCACCTACTGGTCATGGGACATACTTTGACTCGCCTACTTAACAAGTGACCCACTTGAACAAGTGAAGCATCCTGACTCACCAACTCACCTGGTGACACACCCCGCCTCATCTAATAACCCACTCATCGTCTGACTTTCTGTGACATCCGGAGCCACCTATTGACTCACATGTGACGCATCCCGGCCACCAGCCCATAATACCCCTAATTCTCCCGCCGACACACATGACACACCAAACCTCACCGTGACAACCCTGACACACCTAGTGGCACTCCGACTTGACTTGTGGCCACGTGACACACCATGACTCACCCACTGACCACGTTACACACACTGACTCACCCACTGATCACATGACACATAGTCATCCATTGACCACGTGACACACCCTGACTCACCTACTGACCACGTGACACACAAACTCACCTACTGACCACGTGACACACACTGACTTACCTACTGGCATGAAGGAGGAAGACTCTCGTATGGGTATTCACCACGCTGTTCAGTCTCTTTCGCACCTCCGATGTGTTGCTGCCATCATTTATCAGCAGTTCGCTGAGGATAGTGAACCTGCTCAACAAATACAACATCTAGCTGAAGATGGACAACTATAAATTGTATGTATACATTCCGAAGATGCATATTTAACTTTGATAGATGATATGCCCGATAAAATCCGGGATAAAACCATCAACAACACACGCTTGTCGTAATTAGGGGACAAAGGGGAACTGGGAGGGGGCGCAGGTTGCTGATTTTGTTAACACGTGTCATCGTATTCCATGCCACGTGGATTGATGGTCATGATCAATCACTGAATTGTCAGGTCCAGACTCAATTATTCACACACCACCTCCAAATAGTTATAATATTGAATATTGCTAAGTGCAATGCATTGCTAACAAACAATATAACAGTCACAGATACAACAACCATCACACAAAAATATTCTTTCTGTAAACGCAATTCTATCAAAATGAGTTACATCACATTCACCGGTTCAAAGAGCAATGCTCTGACATAACCATCGAAGCGTTAGATGTTTCTCAGATATTTGAAACAACATCGCCGCAATCTCACCCTTGGGATATACATCAACAAACAGGGAATATAAACAGTGTTCATAAGTATTAACAGAGTCCCAGTCATTTCCATTTTAGCCCCTGTATCCGCTTTGTGTCAATACCAAATGGAAGTTTTACTGATAGTTAAATCTCCAGAGGCCACGCCAGCACATTCCAACATTGGCTAAGCTCTTGGTACTCATGTCGGCTCTCATAAACGTACAATCAAGGCAGAATGTCAACGACCTTCGACAACATCGTCAGATGACCGTGTTAATCTGTTCATTCGATTACACTTTACTCAACTATCAAAAGACCGCATGAACGTATCTCGTTGATATGTTGTTAATATCGATCGTAACAGAAAAAAGATCGTTTTCACTCCGTGGCGTTAGAGAGGTGTAAACTGCGCGCGCGTGTTTTATTTACACGTTCAATATGATGAAATTCGACGTTAAATTTTAAGGGAATCAGAGGCCGTCTGTGTGTTTTCTCAAGTAATTAAGGTATTTAAATTTGCTCTGGCAGAATGAGGCGTAGAGATATTAACGATCTGTTTGCGGGCTAAATAGAGACGGGATTCTGTCTATTCCTAGGCAGCTCTTGAAATAACTTCTGGCATATGGAAAAACACTTCAGTGGTTAGAGAACGCTGTAGGTTCTTGCAAGGTTCTTGCAAATATGTGCTCTCTCTCTCTCTCTCTCTCTCTCTCTCTCTCTCTCTCTCACACACACACACACACATCATTACGTTGGCGCGTAGTCCTGTGCACAGAGCTCAGGTCACAGGTCACGAATCAGTTGAAGTTAAGCAACTGACAATGCTCGGACAATCCTTGGATGGGTGTCCGTGTTTGGCAGCTTGACACCTGAGAGTTTCTAGGACTTCAGTCCTGCCCACAACGAAGCACATGTAATGCATGTGGTCTCACCTTAGGCAAGTGAGTTTGTTCAAATTGCTTCACCCAGCAGAAAATGGGTACCCGGTTGGATAAGGTCATGTGACTATAACCTTCTAGCGCCTAACAGGCAGCTTGGGTTATCCGGGGTAATAAGAATCAGATTCTGATTAAGCGCCGCGAGCAATCACTTGGTGTTTGGAGACTGTGCGCTATAGAAGATGACTTATTATTATTACGTTATCACAGGTTTTGCAGAAGCATTGTACTTGCAATATGTTTGTGCGACAGTATTGAATCCTGTTTGTAAGCTCGACATACCAACTGATATTATGAAGAGTGTCAATTCAATACACACGCCGCTCCGGTCTTCAAAATATGACGTCACTGAGTATTATCGTGTTGGAACTCACTTCTAGAAGTATTAACATCACAGAGGGACAGAATCATCCCCTTTTCAATTTAGTGTTTTAGATTAATCATTCAAACATAATTACGCACGCACACCGCAAACGCATACACAACAGAGACATGCACGATTTTGTAATTATGATATAAAAATATGTCCACTTAATAAAATAAAACTTATTAAAACCTGCCAGTGAAGCTTTTCCAAAAAACCTAATAGAAATGTCACAATCAAAATGTATAACATGTCTAAAATACTGTAAACTTGTCGAGTCTTGGGAATAAAAGAAATAAGTCTAAAGTCCAAATTGCACTTCTCGAATGCCTCACAGCAAAAAGTAAACCGCTGAAAACGCGATGTACGGTGAACGGGCCTCTCCTACGTGTTAGATCAAACTTCCCTGTGGTGCGATCATTATTCAGCGAAGCCGAAATAGTGTTGTTACGTCCATTCATTCCGTCATTTGCAACCGTAACAACTCAATAATGCGACATGAAACCCCACGATGCCACGGGATTGATTAAAATTCAATAAGGCTGTGGGTTTTCCTTGATGTTTCTTTCAATGGTTTGTCTGCTGGGACAGGAAAACCGATTCTAAATGGGTCTCATTGGTTTTGTTGTCCAACTAGCAGTAAATCCTTACGAATGTTGAGAAGAACTTACTTGAAGGTTTTTGTCCCCGTCGAAGTGTACCTCGTCTGCTCTTGACTCTCTCGTGTGAGCGCGCGCAGGCTGGACAGGAAGTCGTAGTGTCCGAACGTCTGCGTGGTCACCACTGTGAAGTCGGACCAGTTGTATTTTCTGAGCATGTCCAACATGGCCGACGCCTGGTGATGGAGCGTCGGTGCTAGCTGTAGTCGACGAGAGTCAACCGGCTGGAAGGAAAATAACACAAATGAGTAGGGTTTTACACGCGTATTGTTTCAGAAATAATTAAATCTGGACAGACTGCATTTCATGAATTGTACCCGTGTGGGGAGTCGAATTAGGGCCTTCTGTGCGACTCTCAGCCACCTGCCTACCGGGACATCGTAAATACAAGAGCGATAACTTACTAACATGGAATAAAGACAGGCATGCACGAGTGAATGTAGTTTTACGTTTTATCCCAGCAAGGAAACAACAATGGCTGATCCCAGCAAGGAAAACAATGGCTGAAAGTGGTCAATGCAATGTAACATATATCGTATATTTGGGATTACACGTCCTTAGTAAAGTACAGATTATTGTACTTTTGTTGGGTTAAGTCCCATCCGGGATTCGAACCCATACCTTCAGAGTCAGGCACCTAATCGCCAGCACACAAACTCAGTAATGGCTGCAGCTGAATGTCCGAGCAACAAACAAGACCCACGGGATACGGTTGCATATAATAATTGTAGCCAGACATGTTGGTTTGTTCCTGTAGCAAGCATTGAATATATTTTGAATACTTTATCGTTTTTTATTGTTGTGTCGTGTTTCTCGTCGCCAAACCTACGTATTTATTCCACCTTACACACAGATAAAGGATCCACTTCTTTCCGACGCTGTACTCGAACCAGTCCGATCTCGTAAAAATGCCAGTTGGAGAGATTAAGAAAGTCGTGAAGAATTGAGAGTAACGTAACTTTGAAAAGATTAGATATACGCCCATGTCTGTTCTGGCACTATAAATGAACACTACATGCAAATAACTGAGGAACGTGTCATGGTAAGGTTCTTCTTCATTTCGAGAATCGACTCTTTGTAACCTTCCAGGACTCTGTGATGCAGAAGAAAAAGAATGTGTCGTTTCTCTAAAACCCCAAACGAGACAAAACACAACATCTTTGATCCTTTAATAAGGTGTAAAATGACCAAAGGATCAAATGATACACCTTGTGAGTTTCAAACGGCTGCTATGAAACGGAAGAGGCTACAATGATGATGTTTCGGGTATTATAACATTGATGTGACTGTCAGTTCCCCCTACTGAATCTAAACGATTTCCCCATCTCTTGTGGTGTCCATTCAAGCACTTTCCTCAAGATATGAAGACTCTCTTACAGAACCACTTCCTACTTTGTTCAGATTCTGAGAAATGCAGTATTCCACTAGGAAACAGTTCTGCGTCAAGAGATCTTGATCAGGAGGCGCCAAACCCTATAGTCCGTTTGGCTCAAAATCGGACCGATGAATTGCAATCTATCTCGAAAACTAATAAACATAAAATACTCAATGAACGCTGATCATAATCAAAACATCATACCAACTCTGTGAGGTTGTTTGCAGAATTTTTGCCCTTAAAAATAAAAAAGTTGTTTAACAATCTATCATTAAAATATTGACACAGTTCACTATTTGTTACGAGGGAGGAGTGCAGAGAAAGGGACAGCCAGGTGTTCGAGAACGGATGGAGACGGCACAGCAAAGGTTAATGAATAAATAACTTTGTCTGTGAACGTGCTTCGCGAACACCTGGCTGTCCCTTTCTCTGCACTCCTCCCTCGTAACAAACAGTGAACTGTGTCAATATTTTAATGATAGGTTGTTTAACAACTTTTATATTTTTGGGACAAAAATTCTGCAAATAAATCACAGAGTTGGTATGATGTTTCGATTATGATCAGCGTTTCATTGAGTATTTTATGTTTATTAGTTTTCGAGTTAGATTGCAATTCATCGGTCCGCTTTTGAGCCAAACGGACTATAGTCTCCCCACTACTACTATGATCATTAATATTGTATTATATTGTTTCGTCTGAGACGTTTACAACCTTCTAACACACCACCAATAACTCAAGAAATAAAGGCCCACAGTTTAAACATATCGTAAACAGATTATAACACTATGGACATGATACAAATAGGGCTTTAACACTGCACAAATGCTCAGCAGCAAATTCACGGCTTCATCGTGACGATGTTACTCTCAATTCATATATAATTTACATTTAAAAACTGATATATACAGAAGCAAATTGAATCATATGACCTTATATGAGAGGCATGTTGATCATACACAGCGACAAAGCGCCAGGTAGCTGCACACAAATGTCATGACTGATTCATAACCATCGGTTCTATTCTTTATGCAGTTATTGGAAACCATATACTGTAATGCTATTGCAGAAATTGGCGTCAGTGGTTTACATAGGCAGTCCTTCGAGATTTGCACAGTCGAGTAGGCTGTATGCTATAAAGACAAGCTCTTATTTATTCATCCCATGCTTTCTTAATTGCAATATATGCATTTGTTATCTGCCATGAACGAATCTGTTCCAGTCAGTTCAACAAAACGGATAGAATAGTTTGAAGGAGTGGATTACTGAAAATATTGTATACTTGATCGTTGAGGACGTCAGCCCCAACCTAAAAACATATTTAGGTGGACAGTTTTAATCTTGTTTTTATTGGCACCGACACTGACGGCCAATTACACATGGCGCATATATTACCAGAAAAACAACTACATCTTTACAACTTTGACACGTTTTTAAATACAGACATGTATTTATGTAAATGCATGTGCATTTAGACGGAATATTATTTAAACGTTGTTCATATAGACAAAAAATAATGAGATATCATATGTCCATCAGTGGTTTCTGTTTTTGTGAACTCTTGTAACTTTGTAAATAATGATGGTGCGTCTGATATTAGTATTCAGAGACATGATAATTCTCTCAGCCACTTTATCGAAACATGCAATTTTCCTCTGTGTAAAGAGGACTTGGAGAATGTCTTTTTCATGCTGCTATCGCCAGATGAGTGTGTGAGTGAGTGAGTTATGATACGCTCTAACACTATATGTAAGGTATATTTGAGTGTGTCAGCATCGTGAGGAGAAAGGTTTGGGCGATTCAGGTCTCATTTTGGGACGGTTTGTGTACTAAAACCTAGACATGTTATAGGGAAAACTGGTATTTGAACCCAAAAGAACACGTTCCTGTCATGTCTAAAGGGACGCAACTCTTCACAGCGAATTGCCGCGCCTTAGACACCCATGACCTCAATGACCGATGTGCAGCTAGACTGAGTGAATATGGTTTTACGCCGCTTTTAGCAATATTCCAACAATATCACGGCGGGGGACACCACAAATGGGCTTCACACATTGTACTCATGTGATGAATCGAACCCAGGTCTTCGGCGTGACGAGCGAACGTGTTAACCACTAGGCCACCCCAACGCCCCTGTGTAGCTAGAGCAGCATTGAAACAGTATTATACAAACCGAATAACGGAGAACATGATACAGATCACCGTGTCAATTTCAGCTGCTGAATTATGAAACGCACGTATTGCAGGCTTACTGTGCCACATGCAATCAACATGTGGGTCATAAAACATAAATTAATCAGCTGACGTCAATCACATGTACACATGTTACACCATTAACCGTAAATTCTGTGTATGCCATTGCTAAAATCAGACACTATAGTGAGAAGATAGAACCTTAATAAGCAAATATAACGTTGATTAATGAAATTGATTAAATGCATTGAAATATACTTAAATTAAACATAGAAATTCACATTGTACGTAAAACACAAATCATGAACATTGAAGCAAGTGAATCACCATGCCCGTTTTCAACCATCAGTCATGGCGTCCTACCAAACCGACAATGGGAACCGAAACAATTATAATTCAAATAAATTTTATTTGAATGATGGCCCTATTTTGACGTATTACAAACATAAAATATATAAAATATAGACAAAAATGAATATTTATAACTTACCAATAAGGAGATCAAAGTGTAAATGCAAGTAAACTACGCAGTAATGTAAACCAAAATTAACATACAATTTCACACAAAGCAGGCCAGCTGACACATGTACAGATGTAAAATTAAACACAATTCTAAAATTATACATCTACATGTTCTTTTTACGAACTTGCATCGTTTCAATAGGCAAACAAATACGTAAGTAAAATATACGATTTCATAAAATCTACCTGCACATTGACCTCGATATAAAAACATATAACTGGCATATGTCCTTATTGTGACTAGGTACAAAATATATTTGAATGCCTCTGGCATCAATATTCGTTCATTTCTGTACAAAAACACATCAATGTACCACTGGCACTGAAATTGTAACGTACATCAAGCAGAACATTTTCAATAAAAAACATCAGTCTGATGTATGGCAGCAGGATTCCATTTTCCTACATTTTTTATGAGAATGGGCTTGTATTTCTATGTTTAAATTTGATTAAATGGGGGAAAATGTTTGAATAAGTTGAACAAAAGAAGTCGACATGGCGTTTAGATGTGTCCAGACACTGATTCCGAGTGTTGGACATGAAACGAATCGTATCTAACCCGGATGCGTTTTGCAAAGTAATCGAATTACTTTAATAATGCATTCTACAATTACTCCGACACATTCTAGTAATGTGGGTGCATTTATTCGGATAGTTTACAGTGATGCTGAATTGCTTTACTAATGAAGAAGCTGTAGTGATGTTAGTTAATCAAGCTGATATTGCAGTTTCTCTCGTGCTGGATGTGCTTTAAGGCATATTACGGTGTAAACGCCAGGAATTGAGGTAGTTCAGGGGCATGTCGCAGCGTCTATAAGTCACATTACAATCAGACTTGGGCATTATCGGCCCATTCATCTCCAATCCGATGTCTCGAACGTGTGCCATAGTCAAGTTAATCTAACAATAAAAACTGGAAATGGAATTGTGATAGAAAAAAATCCGGCAATAAACGCTGGTATCCCTTGCACGTCAACACCTCAGCCAGCGGCGGTGACGAAAACGTGGTCATCATCGACACTTCGGCTGAAATATCTGCAGGGAGCGAACATATATTCAAGGCAAGCGGATGGGCGGTCGTGATTTGCGAGATAATAAAATCTTTTGTTGTAGAGTATTGATGGAATTTGAATGTC